TTGCAGAATTCTGCACCGTGTTTGGTTATATCATGCCAGAGTTCGAATCCCCCCTCAGTAAAACAAATAAACTTAAAAGGAGACAGTTGTAAAACATTAATAAACCCCTTCATAACTGTATTTTGGTCATCTTCATTCTCAAGTTTTTCTTTCAGTGATTGCAGTGACTTGTTTTCATCAGAATCCCAAAAGTTATTTCTGCGTTGTTCAGATTTTAACGTTTCTCAACACTGATGTATCTAGTCCAATGCCACTTCTGTTCTGAGCGGTCAGACATCGAAGGTCGGCATTGGCTATTAATTCCCTGTGCACCTTATATGGGGCAGTATTATGTAATGACAATGCAAGTTGCTCCCCCTGGAGCTGGAAATGGGCTTTTATACCATCTTCATCTGAATGTATGATATCGCCTGAATATGAGACATGGAAATCTAGTACATTCGCAGTGTCCAGAACAAAAAACAACAACATTTTAGCTCGCTTGAAGAATGGCCACAATATCCACTTATTTTAAGATGTTTCATATATATATATATATATATATCTCCTTTTCTGAGCGACTGAAAATGTGTGATATCGAAAATGTACTACACAGTAAGGATTGGACTCTAATCTTTCCTGCAAATAGGCCTACTCATGATAACTTTTTGAAATACCTACCACTTCTCTCTGAATGGACCCTCTCCTATTAATCACGAGTCAATGTAAACATTATTTGTAGTGGTATGCCTGAACCCTCCAAAATCTAACAAAACACATTTAAGTGTATCCTCACTTAAAAGGCAAGCAACCAGTGGTGGAAAAAGTACTCAATTCTCATTCTTGAGTAAAAGTAAAGATACCTTAATAGAAAATGACTCAAGTAAAAGTGAAAGTCACCCAGTAAAATACTACTTGAGTAAAAGTCTAAAATATATATTTTAGTATCAATAGTAAATGTAGTTGCTAAGTATCAAAAGTACATACACAAAATAGTCCAAATTGGAGAAGTGAAATGAAAAAAATAACTTGTTTCAAAAAAATCAAAAAAATGTATAACAGAAAAGTGGTGCGTGCATATGTATTCACCCCCTTTGCTATGAAGCCCCTAAATAAGATCTGGTGCAACCAATTACCTTCAGAAGTCACATAATTAGTTAAATAAAGTCCACCTGTGTGCAATCTAAGTGTCACATGATCTCAGTATATATACACCTGTTCTGAAAGGCCCCAGTCTCTGTAACACCACTAAGCAAGCGGTACCATGAAGACCAAGGAGCTCTCCAAACAGGTCAGGGACAAAGTTGTGGAGAAGTACAGATCAGGGTTGGGTTATAAAACAATATCAGAAACTTTGAACATCCCATGGAGCACCATTAAATAAAAATTAAAGAATATGGCACCACAACAAACCTGCCAAGAGAGAGCCGCCCACCAAAACTCACAGATCAGGCAAGGAGGGCATTAATCAGAGAGGCAACAAAGAGACCAAAGATAACCCTGAAGGAGCTGCAAAGATCCACAGTGGAGATTGGAGTATCTGTCCATAGGACCACTTTAAGCCACACACTCCACAGAGCTGGGCTTTACGGAAGAGTGGCCAGAAAAAGGCATTGCTTAAAGAAAAAAATAAGCAAAAAGGCATGTGGGAGACTCCCCAAACATATGGAAGAAGGTACTCTGGTCAGATGAGACTAAAATTGAGCTTTTTGGCCATCAAGGAAAACACTATGTCTGGCACAAACCCAACATATCTCATCACCCCGAGAACACATTTACATTTTAGTCATTTAGCAGACACTCTTATCCAGAGCGACTTACAGTTAGTGAGTGCATACATTATTTTTGTATTTTTCATACTGGCCCCCCGTGGGAATCGAACCCACAACCCTGCCGTTGCAAACGCCATGCTCTACCAACTGAGCTACATCCCTGCCGGCCATTCCCTCCCCTACCCTGGACGACGCTGGGCCAATTGTGCGCCGCCCCATGGGACTCCCGGTCACGGCCGGCTACGACAGAGCCTGGATTCGAACCAGGATCTCTAGACCACTCCGCCATCCCCACAGTGAAGCATGGTGTGGGGATGTTTTTCATCGGCAGGGACTGGGAAACTGGTCAGAATCGAAGGAATGATGGATGGCGCTAAATACAGGGAAATTCTTGAGGGAAACCTGTTTCAGTCTTCCAGAGATTTGAGACTGGAACGGCGGTTCACCTTCCAGCAGGACAATGACCCTAAGCATACTGCTAAAGCAACACTCGAGTGGTTTAAGGGGAAACATTTAAAATGCCTTGGAATGGCCTAGTCAAAGCCCAGACCTCAATCCAATTGAGAATCTGTAGTATGACTTAAAGATTGCTGTACACCAGCGGAACCCATCCAACTTGAAGGAGCTGGAGCAGTTTTGCCTTGAAGAATGGGAAAAATCCCAGTGGCTAGATGTGCCAAGCTTATAGAGACATACCCCAAGAGACATGCAGCTGTAATTGCTGCAAAAGGTGTCTTATTTCTTGTTTGTTTCACAATTAAAAAATATTTTGCATCTTCAAAGTGGTAGGCATGTTGTGTAAATCAAATGATACAAACCCCCCCCAAAAAAATCAATTTTAATTCCAGGTTGTAAGGCAACAAAATAGGAAGAATGCCAAGGGGGGTGAATACTTTCGCAAGCCACTGTAAGTACTTTACACCACTGCCAGCAAAACTCCGTATTATTCAGAGTCACATGAAATGACACCATATACAGTTGAAGTCAGAAGTTACACACTAAATACACTTAGGTTGGAGTCTTTAAAACTTGTTTTTTCAACCACTCCACAAATTTCTTGTTAACAAACTATAGTTTTGGCAAGTCGGTTAGGACATCTAGGACATCTACCTGTGGATGTATTTCAAGGTATACCTTCAAACTCAGTGCCTCTTTGCTTGACATCATGGGAAAATCAAAAGAAATCAGCCAAGACTTCAGAAAAAAAATTGTACAACTCCACAAGTCTGGTTCATCCTTGGGAGCTATTTCCAAACGCCTGAAGGTACCACGTTCATCTGTACAAACAATAGTACGCAAGTATAAACACCATAGGACCACGCAGCCGTCATACCACTCAGGAAGGAGACGCGTTCTGTCTCCTAGAGATGAACGTACTTTGGTGCGAAAAGTGCAAATCAATCCCAGAACAACAGCAAAGGACCTTGTGAAGATGCTGGAGGAAACAGGTACAAAAGTATCTATATCCACAGTAAAACGAGTCCTATATCGACATAACCTGAAAGCCGCTCAGCAAGGAAGAAGCCACTGCTCCAAAACCGCCATAAAAAAGCCAGACTACGGTTTGCAACTGCACATGGGGACAAAGATCGTACTTTTTGGAGAAATGTCCTCTGGTCTGATGAAACAAAAATAGAACTGTTTGGCCATAATGACCATTGCTATGTTTGGAGGAAAAAGGGGGTTGCTTGCAAGCCGAAGAACACCATCCCGACCATGAAGCACGGGGGGGGCAGCATCATGCTGTTGGGGTGCTTTGCTGCAGGAGGGACTGGTGCACCTCACAAAATAGATGGCATCATGAGGAAGGAAAATTATGTGGATATATTGAAGCAACATTAAGACATCAGTCAGGAAGTTAAAGCTTGGTCACAAATGGGTCTTCCAAATGGACAATGACCCCAAGCATACTTCCAAAGTTGTGGCAAAATGGCTTAAGGACAACAAAGTCAAGGTATTGGAGTGGCCATCACAAAGCCCTGACCTCAATCCTATAGAACATTTGTGGGCAGAACTGAAAAAGCGTGTGCGAGCAAGGAGGCCTACAAACCTGACTCACACCAGCTCTGTCAGGAGGAATGGGCCAAAATTCACCTAACTTATTGTGGGAAGCTTGTGGAAGGCTACCCGAAACGTTTGACCTAAGTTAAACAATTTGAAGGCAATGCTACCAAATACTAATTGAGTGTATGTAAACTTCTGACCCACTGGGAATGTGATGAAATAAATAAAATCTGAAATAAATCACTCTCTACTATTATTCTGTCATTTCACATTCTTAAAATAAAGTGGTGATCCTAACTGACCTAAGACAGGGAATTTTTACTAGGATTAAATGTCAGGAATTGTGAAAAACTGAGTTTAAATGTATTTGGCTAAGGTGTATGTAAACTTCCGACTTCAACTGTATACATTCTACAGACCCTACTGAGTTTTCCCTACAATACTTTTACTGCGGCACCTAGGATAGTTTTTGCTCTATAAGCAAATCTGTACTTCATATACAGTGATTTGTATTGTGGGCATTTATTTGACCTTGGAACATGTTTTAAAACCCAAATGTAATGCAAATGTCACTTAAATATGAACAAATATGAACCATTGTTAATGTTTAGACAATTATTTGTAATATATCATGAATAAATACATGCTATTGACACTTCTACTATTACGTGAGGGGCTTTTATTTAAAAAATGCCCTAGATTCCGTGATCCGGAGCACCCAGTTTGAATCACAACGTACCAGATAAGCGCGGAATTTGATTTTGGACACTGACTTTGTCTGTGTGTGTGTGTGTGTGTGTGTGTGTTCAATCATAACATTCGGTTTCGGAAGTAAACGCAGTGGTGGGTTTGGTTGGCGGATCTTCACAGCTGTACTGAGACTGAGGTAGGCATGGCAGGTAGTTCAGATAGGAGTAAGTCTGAGATGGATGAAGGTATTATGATTAGTGACGACTGTACGGGGGAAAAAAAGGAAACGGTTAAAGGGATGTGGGTGGATTTATCACAGATGGGGACATAGATGGAAGGGGGGAATCTAGAAGAGCAAACAGGCAGGGAGATGAGGTAGAGGAGAACAAAGTGATGGTTGTTTTTTCTGAACCAACCAGTAAAATGTTACAGCCGATAACGTTGTCAAAGGCCATCAAGTCAGATATAGGCCATGTAAAAGATGCAAGGTGCATAGGGAAAGGAAAGGTATTGATATTTGTGGTTAATATAGCGCAGGAGGACAAGATATTGAAAATGGAGGTAGGGTGAAATGCCATGTCCCTGGCAGTAGGGTGAAAGTGAGAGGTGTGATTGCGGAGTACCGATGTAGGAGTCAATGGAGGAGTTTAAGAGGGAGGTGACCGGGGGGAAAGTGATTGAGGCGAGGCGAATGAGCAGTAAGAAAAGGGAGGGTGGAGTAGAAAGCACTACGGTCCTTTTAGAGTTTGAAGGGAATCTTCTGAGACTGAGTACATCTAGGATTCATCAGCTGTTATGTTAGGGAGTTTGTGCCAGCGCCGCGTAGGTGCTTTAAGTGTCAGCGCATGTTAGCTAGCGTCTGTAAGGGGCAGAAACTTTGTGCGAAGTGTGGGGGACCACATTAATATGGCAAGTGTGGGGTGGAGGCTAAGGCAAGGTGCTGTAACTGTGGCAGGGAACATAGTGCAGCGTTCGGGGATGTATAGCACAGAAGCAGGAAGCAGAGGTACAGAGTTATAAGATCAAAAACAAGGTAACGTATGCTGAAGCAGCACAGAGAGTTCAAAGTTCAGAACCTGTGAGGAAATTGGTGCAGAGGCCTCCGATGGAAAGGGGAGGTGAGGGAGTAGCACAAACTGGGGTCTCCACGAAATGTGACCATCAGTGTGCGGTCACAAAATAATCGTTGGTGGTGAACAGGGTTGACTTCTTGGCATTCATGTGTAGTGTGATGAATATGAGTGATCAGGTTCAGAAAAAGTCTGCACGCATAGATGTGGTGGTACGCGCGGCCAAAGATTTCCTGGGAATTACAGAAGCAACTCGAGTAATGATGCATGAGATGTTGAATCAGCCAAGAGGTGATGGTCCTTCAATGGAACGCTAGCTGCTTAACAGCTAACGGGCAGGAGTTTAAGAAGTTTGTATATGACATGGATGTAGTGCCAGATGTACTGTGTGTCCAAGAGACATGGCTCAAACATCAACTGGAGTTTGTGATTCCGGGATTCAGTTCGATGTGATAGTGGAGGGGTCAGGTGGGGTTGTGCTACGTTCGTTAAAGAGGGGATGGCATACAGAGTATTGGAGATACAGGAATTTGAATGTGTGGGGATATAAATATGTAGGAATTGAGATAACATTTTAATAGTTAATTTCTATAACCCCTACAAACTTCCCATGTTAGCACAGTTAGAAGGGATTGATAGGACGTGTAGGGGTAGGAAAGTAATGTGGTGTGGTGATTTTAATGCCCATAATGAAATCTGGGGAAGTACACATAAAGATAACAATGGGAGTATAGTTGAAGAATGTATGGATAACAGGGGATTAGTGTGTATTAATGATGGGAGGGGGACGAGAATCCATGTGGTGAGGAGTACAGAGTCTTGGACTTGACATTGGTATATGTGGCTGTGGCAGGGAGTTGTGAATGGGAAGTGATGAGAGAACCCACGGTAGGGAGTGATCATTTTCCAGTTCGATGGAAGGTCAATATGGGTGTGTGTAGGGTGTGTGTATGCAGAGTAGAGGCAATAACATGGTGGTGCTTTGAGAAAGCTAACTGGAAGATGTTCAAGTACCTGTGTGATCGGGCGGGACAAAAGTTATCAATGGAGGGGTCTGTGGATGAGTGTGCTGAGGCAGTAACGTCTGTAATTGTATCAGCTGCTGATGTGACCGTTCCAGTGTGTTTGGGGGGAGGATGACGGCAGGCGGTGCCATGCTGGACAAATGAGTGCTCAGAGGTGGTGCAGGAAACGGATATAGCTCTGCGTGTACTTAAGAATGGCTTGGCAGAAAGGAAGAGAGCGATGGCCAGAAGAACGATTATGACAGCGAAAAGGGAGGCATGGCGTGAATTTTGCTCCACTATTGGTAGAGGGACCGAAATTGGTGTGGTTTGGAAAATGTTTTAAAAAATGATGGGGAAGAATAAAAATGCTTGAATTCCTGTGTTTGTAGAAGGAAACATTACAGCTGTATCAAGTAAAGAAAAGGCAAATGTCCTAGGTGGTGCATTTGCAGCAGTTCATAGATGTGAGCACCTGTGTGATGAGAGTAAGAGACGACAAGATGTTAAAAGAGCATGGAGATGTTTTAAAGAAAAAAAGGGAGTCAGGAGAAGCTATGGATGCAGAGTTTTCTACGTTTGAGATGAAAGGCGTTGGAGGGCTGCGGGCGGACTGCTCCTGGAGAAGATAGGGTGTGTTATGTGATGTTTAACTATGCACCGAACAGTGTTGGAAGCAGTGTTATGGTTGTATAATAAGGTGTGGAGGACTGGGGTGATACCTGCTGGGTGGAAACGTGCAGTGGTGTTGCCGTTTGTAAAACCAGGTAAAGATCCCGCTAGGGCAGGCAGTTATAGGCCTATCGCGTTGACATCCAATATGTGTAAGTTGATGGAAAAGATGATAGTGAGTAGGATGATGTATTTCTTGGAAGTGAAGGGTTTGTTGAGTGTAGCACAGAGTGTGTTCAGGAGACGGAGGTCTGCCATGGATGCCCTGGTGACAGTTAGTACAGAGATAACCAAGGCCCTGACAAAAGAGTTTATGAGTGTTGTCTATTTTGACATTGAGAAAGCTTATGATACCATTTGGAGGGAAGGGTTGTTGATCAAGTTGAGTGCATTGGGCATTGGGGGACATCTATAACTGGATCATGGACTTCCTGTTCGATCAACTGTGGTTAGTCTGGTGTTGTTCACCCTGATGATAGATTACATATTTAAGGAGGTGGGACAGGGAGGGGTTGTGTCCTTGTTTGCTGATGATGGGGCTGTATGGAAGAGAGGTGGGAATGTGAAATATGTGATAAGGAAGATATGGTGGTTAAACCATGGTGGTTTAGGATGTCTGTGGCCAAGTCCTGCTTTATGGTGTTTTCTAGGAGAAAGGTTAAAGATATTAGGATGCAAATATACGGTCAGGATATAGGTAGGGTGTCTGAGTTTAAGTATCTAGGTATGTGGTTTGATGAGAGGCTTACGTGGAAGAGACATGTTGAGTATATTGAAATTAAGGTGTAGGAAGGTGCTGAACTTTCATGAGGGCTGTGACAGGATATGAATGGGGGTTGGATAGACAAACACTGTTGTATACGTATCAGACATTGATCAGGTCATCTTTGGATTATGGGTGCTTTGTATATGGATCGGCAGCCAAAACGGATGGCTGACACTGTGTGGGTGCCTTCAGGACGACACCTATTGAGGCATAGCAGGTGGATAGTGGGGAACTGCCACTGAGGATAAGGAGGGACAAACTTGCATTAGTGTACTGGGCGAGGTTGAAAGGGTGTTCAGAAGGACATCCTGCGGTCACGGCAACTGGGGAATGCTGGGAGCGAGGAGTGGGTAAGCAGAGGGCGTACGGGTGGACAATTGGGCAGAAAGTGGTAGAATATGGACTGGGGGAGAGAGAGAGAGAGAGAGAGAGATAGACCAGCAATTGCATTGGGGAACGTTCCTCCGTGACGGTTTCCGAAACCAAGTGTAGATGTGGATATGATTTGAGAGTAGGAGGTACAACCCTAAATCCGTAAACATGGGCACCCTCATAGATATCATCCTGACCAACTTACCCTCTAAATACACTTCCGCTGTCTTCAACCAGGATCTCAGCGATCACTGCCTTATTGCCTGCATCCGTAACGGGTCCGCGGTCAAACGACCACCCCTCATCACTGTCAAACGCTCCCTAAAACACTTTAGCGAGCAGGCCTTCCTAATTGACCTGGCCCAGGTATCCTGGATGGATATCGATCTCATTCCGTCAGTAGAGGATGCCTGGTTGTTCTTTAAAAGTAATTTCCTCTCAATCTTAAATAAACATGCCCCATTCAAAAAATACAGAACTAAGAACAGATATAGCCCCTGGTTCTCCTCAGACTTGACTGCCCTTGACCAGCACAAAAACATCCTGTGGCCTACTGCATTACCATCGAATAGCCCCCGCGATATGCAACTTTTCAGGGAAGTTAGGAACCAATATACACAAGCAGTTAGGAAAGCAAAGGCTAGCTTTTTCAAACATAAATTTGCATCCTGTAGCACTAACTCCAAAAGGTTTTGGGACACTGTAAAGTCCATGGAGAATAAGAGCACCTCCTCCCAGCTGCCCACTGCACTGAGGCTAGGAAACACTATCACCACCGATAAATCTACAATAATCAAGAATTTCAACAAGCATTTTGTTACGGCTGGCCATGCTTTCCACCTGGCTACCACTACCCCGGCCACCAGCTCTGCACCCTTCGCTGCAACTTGCCCATGCCCCCCCCCCCGCTTTTCCTTCACTCAAATTCGAGACAGCTGATGTTCTGGAAGAGCTGCAAAATCTGGACCCCTACAAATCATCTGGGCTAGACAATCTGGACCCTTTCTTTCTAAAACTAGCCGCCGAAATTGTCGCAACCCCTATTACTAGCCTGTTCAACCTCTCTTTCGTAACGTCTGAGATCCCCAGAGATGGGAAAGCTGCCGTGGTCATCCCCCTCTTCAAAGGGGGTGACACTCTAGATCCAAACTGTTACAGACCTATATCCATCCTGCCCTGCCTTTCGAGAGTTTTTGTTAACAAGTTAACAAACAGATCACCGACCATTTCGAATCCCACCGTACCTTCTCCGCTATGCAATCCGGTTTCTGAGCTGGTCATGGGTGCACCTCAGCCACGCTCAAGGTCCTAAACGATATTATAACCGCGATCGATAATAGACAGTACTGTGCAGCCGTCTTCATCGACCTGGCCAAGGCTTTCGACTCTGTCAACCACCGCATTCTTATTGGCAGACTAAATAGCCTTGGTTTCTCAAATTACTGCCTCGCCTGGTTCACCAACTACTTCTCAGATAGAGTTCAATGTGTCAAATCGGAGGGCCTGTTGTCTGGACCTTTGGCAGTCTCTATGGGGGTGCCACAGGGTTCAATTCTTGGGCCGACTCTTTTCTCCGTGTATATCAATGATGTCGCTCTTGCTGCTGGTGACTCTCAGATCCACCTCTACGCAGACGACACCATTTTGTATACATCTGGCCCGTCATTGGACACTGTGTTAACAAACCTCCAAACGAGCTTCAATGCCATACAACACTCCTTCAGTAGCCTCCAACTGCTCTTAAACACTAGTAAAACTAAATGCATGCTCTTCAATCGAACGCTGCTGGCACCCGCCCACCTGACTAGAATCACTACTCTCGACGGGTCTGACCTAGAGTATGTGGACAACTACAAATACCTAGGCGTCTGGTTAGACTGTAAACTCTCCTTCCAGACTCACATTAAGCATCTCCAATCCAAAGTTAAATCTAGAATCGGCTTCCTATTTCGCAACAAAGCCTCCTTCACTCATGCTGCCATACATGCCCTCGTAAAATTGACTATCCTACCGATCCTTGACTTCGGCGATGTCATTTACAAAATAGCCTCCAACACTCTACTCAGCAAATTGGATGTAGTCTATCACAGTGCCATCCGTTTTGTCACCAAAGCCCCATATACTACCCACCACTGTGACCTGTACGCTCTTGTTGGCTGGTCCTCACTACATATTCGTCACCAAACCCACTGACTCCAGGCCATCTATAAATCACTGCTAGGCAAATCCCCGCCTTATCTTAGCTCATTGGTCACCATAGCAACACCCACCCGTAGTATACGCTCCAGCAGGTATATCTCACTGGTCATCCCCAAAGCCAACACCTCCTTTGGCCGCCATTCCTTCCAGTTCTCTGCTGCCAATGACTGGAACGAATTGCAAAAATCTCTGAAGCTGGAGACTCTTATCTCCCTCACTAACTTAAAGCATCAGTTGTCAGAGCACCTTACCGATCACTGCACCTGTACACAACCCATCTGAAATTAGCCCACCCAACTACCTCATCCCCATATTGTTATTTATTTTGCTCATTTGCACCCCAGTATCTCTATTTGCACATCTATCATTCCAGTGTTAATACTAATTGTAATTATTTTGCACTATGGCCTATTTATTGCCTTACCTCCATAACTTGCTACATTTGCACACACTGTATATATATTTTCTGTTGTATTTTTGACTTTACGTTTTGTTTTACCCCATATGTAACTCTGTGTTGTTGTTTTTATCGCACTGCTTTGCTTTATCTTGGCCAGGTCGCAGTTGTAAATGAGAACTTGTTCTCAACTGGCTTACCTGGTTAAATAAAGGTGAAATAAATAAATAAAATTAAAAATTAAAAAATTAAAAAATGAGAGAATGGGGTGAGGACATGAGACGGTGTGTGGAGAGAAATATAGATAATCATTTGTATTTATTTTTAATAATAATAATATGCCATTTAGCAGACGCTTTTATCCAAAGCGACTTACAGTCATGTGTGCATACATTTTTACGTATGGGTGGTCCCGGGGATCGAACCCACTACCCTGGCGTTACAAGCGCCATGCTCTACCAATTGAGCTACAGATGGTTCAAAGGATCTAGTCAGTGGTAGGATGGGGGCAGGGGTGTATATCCCAGATTTCAATGAGTATGTAAGCGGTCAACTGATTATGTGTCAGTGTATGCGGCCGAGTTGATGGCCATGATTATAGGTTTGAGATGGGTGGAGGAGGTGAAACCACTCAGAGTGGTGATCTGCTCTGATTCAGCTGCAGTGTTGAGTAGTGCGAAGACGGACAGATCAGATAGGGGAGACTTGTTTGTGGAAATGATGGTGCTGTTAATGGGATTGGAGAGGATGGGAGTGGTAGTAAGCTTTTGCTGGGTTCCAGCCCATGCGGGTGTGGAGGGTAATGAGAAGGCTGATGTGGTGGCTAAGAGTGCGGTAAGGAGAGAGGGGGGTAGTTATTCAGGTGCCGCTGGGCCGCAGGGAAGTCAAGTCCTTGAACCGGGCAAAAGGGCTTGATCTTTCGCAAAGGGAGTGGGATGCTAGTAGTAAGGGGAGGCAATGTTACCACGTGCACCGGTCAGTTAAGGAAGAGGTGGGGAGTATGGGATGTAGGAGAGACGTTTGAATGCCATGTTGTGGATGATAGGGACACATGAAACAGGTCTGTGTGATGACTGTTTAGCGGAGGAAACAGTGGAGCATGTGTTGATATTTTGTGAACTGTATGACCTAGATAGGGAGAGATTGTGTGAAAAGATTAGAGAGGCTGGACGGGGTTAGGGTTGGGATTTGGGTGGTGTAGTTGGGGAGGGAAGTGGTGTCTAGGGCTCTATTTCACTTTCTTAGAGGAACAGGACTAATGAAGATGATTCAATGTAGGTAGGCTGTGAGTGACCTCACACTCCAGTACAGTAGGTGGCGGTGTATGCACCTTAAAAGTTGGATGCGATCCGCCAACCCAATCTCGAAGAAGAAGAAGAATTTATGAATAGGAAGTACTTTTTTAGTGTTGACGAGATGCTGATGTGACTAGGACATAACATGGCTACCAGATCAGCTGTTGAAAAGATGAACAACTTGCTTGACTCCACCTTCTATAAACTTAGATTGGGTGCTGAATCCTTGTCTATAATCCAAAGAACAAAAGATCCCAGATCAGCTCTCCCAGAGGAGGATCTCTCCTGTCCTATTTGCCATGATATCTTCAAGGATCCTGTTGTCCTGTTGTGTAGCCACAGCGTCTGTAAAGCCTGTCTGCAGGAACACTGGAAACAGAGGCGACATCGGGAATGTCCAGTGTGCAGGAAGAGAAGCAATTCGAAAGGCAATCGTCCCTGTAACCTGGTCTTAAAGAACCTATGTGAGTCTTTCTTATTGGAGAGGAGTCAGAGAGATTCAGGGGTGTTTGAGGGGCTCTGCAGTCTACACAGGGAGAAACTCAAGCTCTTCTGTCTGGAGGACAAACAGCCCATCTGTGTGGTTGTGCCAGGCCTCCAGAAAACATAAAAACCACAACCGCTGCCCCATGGCACTAAGTTAAAGACCCTGGGACTAAACACCTCCCTCTGCAATTGGATCCTGGACTTCCTGACGGGCCGTCCCCAGGTGGTAAGGGTAGGTAACAACACATCCGCCACGCTGATCCTCAACACGGGGGCCCTTCAGGGGTGCATGCTCAGTCCCCTCCTGTACTCCCTGTTCACTCATGACTGCATGGCCAGGCACTACTCCAACACCATCATAAAGTTTGCTGATGACACAACAGTGGTAGGCCTGATCACCGACAACGACGAGACAGCCTATAGGGAGGAGGTCAGAGACCTGGCCGTGTGGTGCCAGGAAAACAACCTCTCCCTCAACGTGATCAAGACAAAGGAGATGATTGTGGACTACAGGAAAAAGAAGAGGACCGAGCACGCCCCCATTCTCATCAACAGGGCTGTAGTGGAGCAGGTTGAGAGCTTCAAGTTCCTTGGTGTCCACATCACCAACAAACTAACATGGTCCAAGCACACCAAGACAGTCGTGAAGAGGACACGACAAAACCTATTCCCCCTAAGGAGACTGAAAAGATTTGACATGGGTCCTCAGATTCTCATAAGGTTCTACAGCTGCACCATCGAGAGCATCCTGACTGGTTGCATCACTGCCTGGTATGGCAACTGCTCAGCCTCCGACCGCAAGGCACTACAGAGGGTAGTGCGTACGGCCCAGTACATCACTGGGGCCAAGCTTCCTGCCATCCAGGACCTCTATACCAGGCGGTGTCAGAGGAAGGACCTAAAAATTGTCAAAGTCTCCAGCCATCCTAGTCATAGACTGTTCTTTTGCTACCGCACGGCAAGCGGTACCGGAGTGTCAAGTCTAGGTCCAAGAGGCTTCTAAACAGCTTCTACCCCCAAGCCATAAGACTCCTGAACATCTAATAAAATGGCTACCCAGACTATTTGCATTGCCCCCCCCTTTTACGCTGCAGCTACTCTGTTTATTATCTATGCATAGTCACTTTAATAACTCTACCTACATGTACATATTACCTCAATTACCTCGACTAACTGGTGCCCCCGCACATTGACTCGGTACCCGTATGTAGCCTCGCTATTGTTATTTTTACTGTTGCTCTTTAATTATGTGTTACTTTTATTTGGTATTATTTTATATTGTATTTATTTTTTAGGTATTCTTTCTTAAAACTGCATTGTTGGTTAAGGGCTTGTAAGTAAGCATTTCACTGTAAAGTCTACACCTGTTGTATTCAGCGCATGTGACAAATACAATTTGATTTGATTTGATGGATGAAACTGCACATTATCAAAAGGTACAGTAGCATAACGATCTGCATTTAATATACAAAAACATGTCAGATACAGTATAGTATCAATTTGTTGTTCTATCTGTGTGTGTGTGACACCAGTGTGTTTTTCAGAGTAAAAACTAGGTGGGTAAACTAACGCTCCCTTAGCTCTCGAAAACCCTTATTTTCCGTAGGGTTTTCAGCCATTACAATTGCCCACATTTGGCTCCATGTAAACTACAATTCCAACGCTGTGTTTTAACTTACCTTTTAGAAACGTCAATAATCATTGCTTTCAAAACGGTTTTCATGTCAGCGAGAAATAATCTTTCAAATAAAAAATATACACTTACTGTAGCAGCTTTGCACAGATCCATACAATGTGTGTGCCTCTACTTGACGAACTACAGTCAGCTTACACACAGGTGTTCGAAGCAAGCTAGATAGCTAATTAGCACAGGTGACGGCTATGTCTTCCGTCTGTCTTCCTTAAACAAGCGCTGTAACATCGAGATATGTCAGTGTGGAAACACTAACCGTAACCCTATAAAGGTGTGTAGTTATTAACCTTTTTTTTTTTACTATTATTTTTCGCTGATATGAAAGATACGTTCCTTATGTTTCCAAAACAATACCGCAAGCGATGCGTGTTGATGTTTAGAGGCTCTTAACAAAGCTCCCAGGTCAGAAGATAATTTCATCAATAGGCGCTAAAGTAGTTAGCGTCTAAGAATGGGGTAACGCTCCCTATACTTTCAATGCATTTTTCTGCAAAAGGTGGTTAAACTGTTAGGCAAAAAAACGTTGTTTATTTGCGTTTACCCCTCAGAGCGGTGTACCGCTGATATTTTTCAAGTACTTTTCATAGTGAAGAATAATTTCCTCATTCCTGTAAAACAGATATATCTTATCTAACCACACACACACGTGACACACCTACTGTACACTCACATACCTGACTTAAACCCAGAGGAGAGCAGTCCATTCACCTTTCTTCCATGTAGATAAACTCTGTAATGAAAAAAGGAACATTTCTCTTCAATAAAACATTCTCTCATTCCAGGAGGAACTACAGACTTTCCTGAAGCCCTTACAGGAGAAACTGGAGGTCTTTAATAAAGTTAAACAAACCTGTGACCAAAAAGTCAAGCACATTAAGGTGAGGATGACTAGTAATAAGAGAACAGAGAATTGTAGGTATTCGACTCACAGTATTTTGTGGGTAAACATCATAACATTTAGTCTCCAGAACCAGACCCAGCACACAGAGATAATGATTAAAAAAGCTTACCAGAAGCTCCACCAGTTTCTACGAGAGGAAAAGGAGGTGAGGATAGCTGTTCTGAGGGAGGAAGAAAAGCAGAAGAGCCGTATGATAAATGAGAAGATTGAGGGAATGAGCAGAGAGATATCATCACTTTCAGACACAATCAGAGCCGTAGAGGAGGAGATGAAAGCTGAAGACATCTCATTCCTGCAGGCCAATCAATCAATCAATCAAATGTATTTATAAAGCCCTTTTCACATCAGCAGATGTCACAAAGTGCTATGCAGAAACCCAGCCTAAAACCCCAAACAGCAAGCAATGCAGATGTAGAAGCATGGTGGCTAGGAAAGACTCCCTGAAAGGCAGGAACCTAGGAAGAAACCTAGAGAGGAACTAGGCTCTGAGGGGTGGCCAGTCCTCTTCTGGCTGTGTCGGGTGGAGATTATAAGAGTACATGGCCATTAAGGCCAGATTGTTCTTCAAGATGTTCAAACATTCATAGATGACCAGCAGGGTCAAATAATAATCACAGTGGTTGTAGAGGGTGCAACAGGTCAGTACCTCAGGAGACATGTCAGTTGGCTATTCATAGCCGAGCATTCAGAGGTCGAGACAGCAGGTGCGGTAGAGAGCGAGAGAGAGAGAAAGAGTCGAAAACAGCAGGTCCGGGACAAGGTAGCATGTCCGGTGAAACAGGTCAGGGTTCCATAGCCGCAGGAAGAACAGTTGAAACTGGAGCAGCAGCACGACCAGGTGGAATGGGGGCAGCCAGGAGACATCAGGCCAGGTAGTCCTGAGGCATGATCCTAGGGCTCAGGTCCTTCGGGAGGGGAGGGAGAGAATCAGAGGGAGCATACTTAAATTCACACAGGACACCAAATAAGACTGGAGAATTACACCAGATATAACACACTGACCCTAGCCCCCCAATACATAGACTATTGCAGCATAGACACTGGAGGCTGAGACAGGGGTGGGTCGGGGGACACTGTGGCCCCGTCCGACGATACCCCAGGACAGGGCCAACCAGGCACCCACTTTGCCAAAGCACAGCCCCCACACCACTAGAGGGATATCAACAGACCACCAATTTACTTCCCATGAGGCAAGGCTGAGTATAGCCCATGAAGATCTCCTCCACCGCACGAGCCAGAGGGAGCGCAAAACCGGACAGGAAGATCACGTCTGTGACTCATCCCACTCAAGTCCTAGGGACGGCATGGAAGAGCACTAGTAAGCCAGTGACTCAGCCCCCTTAATAGGGTCAGAGGCAGAGAATCCCAGTGGAGAGAGGGGAGCCGGCCAGGCAGAGACAGCAAGGGTGGTTCGTTGCTCCAGTGCCTTGCCGTTCACCTTCGCACCCCTGGGCCAGACCACACGCAATCATAGTACCTACTGAAGAGATGAGTCTTCAGTAAAGACTTAAAGGTTGAGACAGAGTCTGCGTCTCTCACATGGATAGGCAGACCTCTGTAGCTCAGCTGGTAGAGCACGGCGCTTGTAACGCCAGGGTAGTGGGTTCGATCTCCGGGACCACCCATACACAAAAATGTATGCACGCATGACTGTAAGTCGCTTTGGATAAAAGCGTCTGCTAAATGGCATATTATTATTATTAGACCATTCCATAAAATTGGAGCTCTATAGTAGAAAGCCCTGCCTCCAGCTGTTTGCTTAGAAATTGTAGGGACAATAAGGAGACCTGCGTCTTGTGACTGTAGCGTATGTGTAGGCATGTACGGCAGGACCAAATCGGAGAGATAGGTAGGAGCAACACCATGTAATGCTTAGTAGGTTAGCAAAAAACCTTGAACTCAGCCCTAGCCTTAACAGGAAGCCAGCACTGGGGGAATGTGATCACATTTTTTGGTTCTAGTCAAGATTCTAGCAGCTGTGTTTAGCACTAACTGAAGTTTATTTGGTGCTTTATCCAGGTAGCCAAGAGAGTAGAGCATTGCAGTAGTCTAATCTAGAAGTGACAAAAGCATGGATTCGCTTTCCTGCATCATTTTTGGACAAAATGTTTTTGACTTTTGCAATGTTACAAAGATGGAAAAAAGCTCCCCTTTAAATATACATTTGTCAAAAGAGAGATCAGGATCCAGAGTAATGCAGAGGTCCTTCACAGTTTTATTTGAGACGACTGTACAACCATCAAGATTAATTGTCAGATCCAACAGCAGATCTCTTTGTTTCTTGGGACCTAGAACTAGAATCTCTGTTTTGTCAGAGTTTAAAAGTAAAACATTTGCCGCCATCCACTTCCTTATGTCTGAAACACAGGCTTCCAGGGTAGGCAATGTTGGGGCTTCACAATGTTTCATCAAAATGTACAGCTGTGTGTCGTCCGCATAGCAGTGAAAGTTGACATTGTGTTTCCGAATGACATCACCAAGAGGTAGAATATATAGTGAAAACTAAAATAGTGGTCCTAAAACGGAACCTTGAGGAACGCCGAAACGTACAATTGATTTGTCAGAGGACAAACCATCCACAGAGACAAACTGATATCTTTCCGACAGATAAGATCTAAACCAGGCAAGAACTTGTCCGTGTAGACCAATTTGGGTTTCTAATCTCTCCAAAAGAATGTGGTGATCGATGGTGTCAAAAGCCGCACTAAGGTCTAGGGGCACGAGGACAGATGCAGAGCCTTGGTCTGACACCATTAAAAGGTAATTTACCACCTTCACGAGTGCAGTCTCAGTGCTATGATGGGGTCTAAAACCAGACTGAAGCATTTCGTATACATTATTTGTCTTCAGGAAGGCAGTGAGTTGCTGCGCAACAGCTTTTTCTAAAATATTTGAGAGGAATGGGAGTTTTGATATAGGCCGATCGTTTTTTACATTTTCCGGGTCAAGGTTTGGCTTTTTCAAGAGGCTTTATTACTGCCACTTTTAGTGAGTTTGGTACACATCCAGTGGATAGGGAGCCATTTATTATGTTCAACATAGGAGGGCCAAGCACAGGAAGTAACTCTTTCAGTCGTTTAGTTGGAATAGGGTCCAGTATGCAGCTTGAGGGTTTATAGGCCATGACTATTTTCATGAATGTGTCGAGAGATACAGGATGAAAAAACTTGTGTCTCCATTGATCCTAGGTCCTGGCAGTTCTGTGCAGACTCAGGACAACTGAGCTTTGGAGAAATATGCAGGTTCAAAGAGGAGTCCGTAATTTGCTTTCTAATGATCATGATCTTTTGATCGAAGAAGTTCATGAATTGATCACTGCTGTAGTGAAAGCCATCCTCTCTTGTTGAATGCTGCTTTTTAGTTCGCTTTGCAACAGTATCAAACATAAATGTTGGATTGTTCTTATTCTCCTCAATTAGGTTGGAAAAATAGAATGATCGAGCAGCAGTGAGGGCTCTTCGAAATTGCACGGTACTATCTTTTCAAGCTAGTCGAAAGATTTCCAGTTTGGTAGAGCGCCATTTCCGTTCCAATTTTCTGGAAGCTTGCTTCAGGGCTCGGGTATTTTCTGTATACTAGGGAGCAAATGTATTGTGACAAATGTTTTTTGTTTTTAGGGGTGTGACTGCGTCTAGGGCATTACGCAAGGTTACATTTAGATCCTCAGTTAGGTGGTTAACCGATTTTTGTACTCCGACGTCCTTGGGTAGGTGGAAGGAGTCTGGAAGGGCATTTAGGAATCTTTGGGTTGTCCGAGAATTTATAGCACAGCTTTTGATGATCCTTGGTTGGGGTCTGAGCAGATTATTTGTTGTGATTTCAAACGTAATAAGATGGTGGTCCGATAGTCCAGGATTATGAGGAAATTTAGATCCACAATATTTATTCCACGGGACAAAACTAGATCCAGGGTATGTCCGTGGCAATGATCCGGAGACATGTTGGACAAAACCCACTGAGTCAATGATGGCTCCGAAAGCCTTTTGGAGTGGGTCTGTGGACTTTTCCATGTGAATATTAAAGGCACCAAAAATTAGAATATTATTTGCTGTGACTACGAGGTCCGATAGGAATTCAGAGAACTCAGTGAGGAACGCTGTATATGGCCCAGGAGGCCTGTAAACCATAGCTATAGAAAGGGATTGAGTAGGCTGCATAGATTTCATGACTAGAAGCTCAAAAGTCGAAAATTATCTACAGATTCTATCATTAGGGAGGGGCAGAAAACAGTTTTCAACCATCGATTGAGTTGTGAGACTGCTGTAGAACTCATCACTCCCCCTAACTGGGAGGGGGCCAGAGACAATTACTCGATGCCGACACATTTCTAGCTAATTTACACGCTGAAGCGATGTTTCTCTTGGTGACCTCTGACTGTTTCATCCTAACATTGTTGGTGCCAACGTGGATAACAATATCCCTATACTCTCTACACTCGCCAGTTTTAGCCTTAGCCAGCACCATCTTCAGATTAGCCTTAACAGCCCTGCCCCCTGGTAAACAGTGTATGATCGATGGATGATTATTTTGAAGTCTAATATTGTGGGTAATGGAGTCGCCAATGACTAGGGTTTTCAATTTGTCAGAGCTAATGGAGGGAGGTTTCGGCGGCTCAGACCCCACAACGGGTGGAGGAGAGACCTGAGAAGGCTCGGCCTCTGACTCCGACTCATTGCTTAATGGGGAGAACCGGTTGAAAGTTTCTGTCGGCTGAATGAGCATGCCGACAGCATTTCTTTCCAGAAGCCTTGAGAAAATTGTCCGGCTCCGGGGACTGTTCGGGGCGATTTATACTACTATCTGTACTTACTGGTGGCAGGCACAGACGCTGTTTCATCCTTTCCTACACTTAAATTGCCCTTGCCTAACGATTGTATCTGAAGCTGTGCTTGCAACTCGGCTATCCTCACCATAAGGCGATAGTTCTCCTGTATATTATGAGTACAGCGACTGCAATTGGATGGCATAGTGTTAATGTTACTACTTAACTTTTTGGGCTGGTGGAGGTCCTGTAGAAACATGTCCAGATAAAGCGTCCAAGGTGAAAAAGTTGAATGAAAAAAGTAGAGCGAGGAAAACACGAAGACGTTGGTAAATGAGTTAAAAGTAAAAAAACAAAAAAACATTTGGCAGATAGCCAAGTAGCAACAAACAGCACGGAGACAAGTTTGGAAGTTGAGGGCGGAGGTAGACTGATTTTCCTCTTGTCAGGGCTGTGCTCTCAAAATGTAAAATGTTGGGGTATGTTTATCGGTTGACTGATTTAATATTGATTGATTGATTGACTCAATCTGTTCTTTTGTTCTGTAGAACTGCAAGCCCACAGTGGAAAGGTAAGTGATCGGCCTTCTTTCTTTTTCTTCTCTGTGGTCCTGAACCCAACCCTACAGCAACAGCAGCACTCAATGTTTTTTCAGAACCTAGTGCACACTACCGCCGGATCTACAGCTGGTCTCAGGATTGCTGATAGATGTGGCCAAACACCTGGACAACCTGCAGTTCAGAGTCTGGGAGAAGATGCAGGGGATTGTGAAATACAGTAAATAAATATGAATTTATGAGACTAAAATGCATTTATCTGCCTGACCATCAACTGTGCAGTACAATTAACCAGTATCAATAGCAGTTGTACACAACTATTATTAACTTGACTTGTTCTTCTTGGCATCCAGAAAACAGCACCAACTAGAAATCACCCACAGTTCTAATCTACACTGAACAAAAATATAAACGCAACGTGCAACAATTTCAAAGATTTTACTGAGTTACAGTTCATATAAGGAAATCAGTTAATTTAAATACATGCATTAGGCCCTAATCTATAGATTTCACATGACTGGGAATACAGATATGCATCGGTTGGTCACAGATACTGTACCTTTAAAAAACAAAAAGTAGGGGCGTGGATCATAAAACCAGTTAGTATCTGGTGTGACCATTTGCCTCATGCAGCGTGGCACATCTCCTTCGCATAGAGTTGATCAGGCTGTTGATTGTGGCCTGTGGAATGTTGTCCCCCTCCTCTTCAATGGCTGTGCGAAGTTGCTGGATATTGTCGGGAACTGGAACACGTTGTCGTACACGTCGATCCAGAGCATCCCAAACATGGGCTCCCGAGTGGCGCAGCGGTCTAAGGCACTGCATCTCAGTGCTTGAAGCGTCACTACAGACCCCCTGGTTTGATTCCAGGCTGTATCACAACCGGCCGTGATTGGCCGTGATTGGGAGTCTGCACAATTGGCCCAGCGTCGTCCGGGTTTGGCCGGTGTAGGCCGTCATTGTAAATAAAAATTTGTTCTTAACTGACTTGCCTAGGTAAATAAAGGTAAAATAAAAAAATAAAAAAATGCTCAATGGGTGACATGTCTGGTGAGTATGCAGGCCATGGAAGAACAGGGAAATGTTCAGCTTCCATCAATTGTGTACAGATCCTTGTGACATGGGGCTGTGCATTATCGTGCTAAAACATGAGGTGATTGCGGCGGATGAATGGCACGACAATGGGCCTCAGGATCTCGTCACAGTATCTCTGTGCATTCAAATTGCCATCAATAAAATGCAATTACAGTGGGGGAAAAAAGTATTTAGTCAGCCACCAATTGTGCAAGTTCTCCCACATAAAAGATGAGAGAGGCCTGTAATTTTCATCATAGGTACACGTCAACTATGACAGACAAATTGAGAAAATAAAATCCAGAAAATCACATTGTAGGATTTTTAATGAATTTATTTGCAAATTATGGTGGAAAATAAGTATTTGGTCACCTACAAACAAGCAAGATTTCTGGCTCTCACAGACCTGTAACTTCTTCTTTAAGAGGCTCCTCTGTCCTCCACTCGTTACCTGTATTAATGGCACCTGTTTGAACTTGTTATCAGTATAAAATACACCTGTCCACAACCTCAAACAGTCACACTCCAAACTCCACTATGGCCAAAACCAAAGAGCTGTCAAAGGACACCAGAAACAAAATTGTAGACCTGCACCAGGCTGGGAAGACTGAATCTGCAATAGGTAAGCAGCTTGGTTTGAAGAAATCAACTGTGGGAGCAATTATTAGGAAATGAAAGACATACAAGACCACTGATAATCTCCCTCGATCTGGGGCTCCACGCAAGATCTCACCCGTGGGGTCAAAATGATCACAAGAACGGTGAGCAAAAATCCCAGAACCACACGGGGGGACCTAGTGAATGACCTGCAGAGAGCTGGGACAAAAGTAACAAAGCCTACCATCAGTAACACACTACGCCGCCAGGGACTCAAATCCTGCAGTGCCAGACGTGTCCCCCTGCTTAAGCCAGTACATGTCCAGGCCCGTCTGAAGTTTGCTAGAGTGCATTTGGATTTTCCAGAAGAGGATTGGGAGAATGTCATATGGTCAGATGAAACCAAAATAGAACTTTTTGGTAAAAACTCAACTCGTCGTGTTTGGAGGACAAAGAATGCTGAGTTGCATCCAAAGAACACCATACCTACTGTGAAGCATGGGGGTGGAAATATCATGCTTTTGGGCTGTTTTTCTGCAAAGGGACCAGGACGACTGATCCGTGTAAAGGAAATAATGAATGGGGCCATGTATCGTGAGATTTTGAGTGAAAACCTCCTTCCATCAGCAAGGGCATTGAAGATGAAACGTGGCTGGGTCTTTCAGCATGACAATGATCCCAAACACACCGCCCGGGCAACGAAGGAGTGGCTTCGTAAGAAGCATTTCAAGGTCCTGGAGTGGCCTAGCCAGTCTCCAGATCTCAACCCCATAGAAAATCTTTGGAGGGAGTTGAAAGTCCGTGTTGCCCAGCGACAGCCCCAAAACATCACTGCTCTAGAGGAGATCTGCATGGAGGAATGGGCCAAAATACCAGCAACAGTGTGTGAAAACCTTGTGAAGACTTACAGAAAACGTTTGACCTGTGTCATTGCCAACAAAGGGTATATAACAAAGTATTGAGAAACTTTTGTTATTGACCAAATACTTATTTTCCACCATAATTTGCAAATAAATTCATTAAAAATCCTACAATGTGATTTTCTGGATTTTTTTCTCTCATTTTGTCTGTCATAGTTGACGTGTACCTATGATGAAAATTACAGGCCTCTCTCATCTTTTTAAGTGGGAGAACTTGCACAATTGGTGGCTGACTAAATACTTTTTTTCCCCACTGTACGTTGGTTGTCTATAGCTTATGCCTGCCCATACCATAACCCCACCGCCACCATGGGGCACTCTGTTCACAACGTTGACATCAGCAAACCTCTCGCCCACACGACGCCATACACACTGTCTGTCATCTGCCCAGTACAGTTGAAACCGGGATTCATCCATGAAGAGCACACTTCTCCAGCGTGCCAGTGGCCATCGAAGGTGAACATTTTCCCACAGAAGTCGGTTACGACGCCGAACTGCAGTCAGGTCAAGACCCTGGTAAAGATGACCAGGACGCAGATGAGCTTCCCCTGGTTTGAACATTTAATTATCTGACAACAGCTCTGGTGGACATTCCGGCAGTCAGCATGCCAATTGCACGCTCTCTCAAAACTTGATACATCTGTGGAATTGTGTTGTGTGAAAAAAAACTGCACATTTTAAAGTGGCTGTTTATTGTCCCCAGCACAAGGTGCACCTGTGTAATGATCATGCTGTTTAATCATCTTGTTGAAATGCTCACTAACAGGGATGTAAACAAATTTATGCACAACATTTGAGAGAAATAAAGTTTTTGTACGTATTAAACATTTCTAGGATCTTTTATTTCAGCTCATGAAGCATGGGTCCAACACTTGACATGTTGCGTTTTTGTTCAGTGTAGTAAATCTGCTCTCTTCACTCAGCTCCTGTCACTCTGGACCCAAACACTGCCCACCCAGATCTCTTGATGTCTGAGGATCTGACCAGTGAGAAACACAGCAATGAGACACTGCAGCTTCCTGATAACCCAGAGAGGTTTGTTGACTATGTATGGATCTTGGGTTCTGAGGGCTTTAACTCAGGGACACACAGCTGGGACGTTGAGGTTTTGAACAATACATTCTGGTCGCTGGGTGTGATAGAAAGGTCTGTCCAGAGGAAGGCAGCAGTTAAGAGTGGACACTGGCGATCCTGGCACTTCAAACATAAATACGGTGCGTTTTCCCCACCAGAATCAACCAGTGTACTCCCAGTGGCAAAGAAACCCCAGACGATCAGAGTATAGCTGGACTGGGACAAAGGAGAGCTGTTATTCTCTGACCCTGATAAGAACACCTTTACACACTTTCAATGTGAAAGTCTTTCCATATTTTGGTAGTTACTGCAAGCTCTCCCCTCTGAGAATCTTACCAGGGAAGGTCTCTGTAAAAGGACAAAACGGTTAGTTAGTCTGGCTGTAGTGGGACAGGACTGGTGGTGATCCAGTGGCTTGTGAAAGTATTCACCCCCCTTGGCATTTTTCCTATTTGTTGCCTTACAACCTGGAATTAAAATGGATTTTTGGGGGGGTTGTATCATTTGATTTACACAACATGCCTACCACTTTGAAGATGCAAAATGTTTTTTCTTCAAGGCAAAACTGCTCCAGCTCCTTCAAGTTGGATGGGTTCCACTGGTGTACAGCAATCTTTAAGTCATACCACAGATTCTTAATTGGATTGGGGTCTAGGGCTTTGACTAGGCCATTCCAAGACATTTAAATGTTTCCCCTTAAACCACTCAAGTGTTGCTTTAGCAGTTTGCTTAGGGTCATTGTCCTGCTGGAAGGTGAACCTCCGTCCCAGTCTCAAATCTCTGGAAGACTGAAACAGGTTTCCCTCAAGAATTTCCCTGTATTTAGCCCCATCCATCATTCCTTCAATTCTGACCAGTTTCCCAGTCCCTGCCGATGGAAAAACATCCCCACAGCATGATGCTGCCACCACCATGGTGGTGTTCTCGGGGTGATGAGAGGTGTTGGGTTTGCGCCAGACATAGCGTTTTCCTTGATGGCCAAAATGCTCAATTTTAGTCTCATCTGACCATAGTACCTTCTTCCATATGTTTGGGGAGTCTCCCACATGGCTTTTGGCGAACACCAAACGTGTTTGCTTATTTTTTTCTTTAAGCAATGGCTTTTTTCTGGCCACTCTTCCGTAAAGCCCAGCTCTGTGAAGTGTACGGCTTAAAGTGGTCCTATGGACAGATACTCCAATCTCCGCTGTGGCGCCTTGCAGCTCCTTCAGGGTTATCTTTGGTCTCTTTGATGCCTCTCTGATTTAATGCCCTCCTTGCCTGGTCTGTGAGTTTTGGTGGGCGGCCTTCTCTTAGCAGGTTTGTTGTTGTGCCATATTCTTTACATTTTTAAATAATGGTTTTAATGGTGCTCCATGGGATGTTCAGCTCAGTTTTGCGCTTTGCATAATGTCTCAGTCATCATCCTCTATGACAGGAGGCCAACCCTGCATAAGGAATCTTTTCACTTGGGCCATGATAGGATCCCGGTCTGTCCACTGTTTGATCTGTTTGGCATTCACAGGTGAGTTTGACAATCTCTCCATCAATGGTTTGTGGTCAGTGCATATGGTAAAATGATGACCGTAGAGGTACTGATGAAAGCGTTTCACAGCAAAGACTATGGCCAGACCTTCCTTTTCTAACTGGGAATAACCCTTCTCAGCACTCGTCAGCGTGCGTGATGCGAATCCAATGGGTTTCTCTGACTCGTCCTCCATATGATGAGAGAGTACTGCCCCGACGCCATAGGGCGAGGCATCACATGACAGGATGATCTCTTTGTTTTGGTCAAAATAAACCAGTGCTGATTGTAGTAGTGCTTTCATTTCCTTGAAAGTTTTCTCTTGTACTGGCCCCCACTTCCATTTACAGTCTTTGTGTAGCAGCTGATGAAGTGGAGCCAACACTGTTGACAGCTCAGGGAGGAACTTACCATAGTAGTTCACCATGCCCAGGAACGACCTGAGCTCGGACACGTTCTTGGGGTTTGGAGCATCCTTGATTGCCCTGACTTTCTCCTCCACAGGACACAGACCCTGCACTGTGATCTTGTGACCTAGGTGTGTCACACTCTGTGCTTGGAATGTGCACTTGCTATGCTTCAGGCGCAGCCCTGCCTCAGACAATCTCTTTAAAACCTGGTCCAGATGGTGGAGGTGCTCCTCCTCTGTCTCCCCTGTAACCCGGATGTCATCCAGGTACCCTGCAGCAGATTGTCCATTGTCCTCTGGAAAATGGCTGGACTTGGACACCACTCCGCGGCAGCGGGTAAGCGTCCAGTTTAGAGGCCCTGTTGATGGTGAATTTGTAGTCCCCACATATATGCACCGTGATGTCACTTTTCAGAACAGGAACGATTGGAGCTGCCCAGCAGGAGAACTGAATGGGAGAAAATGATGTTTGTTTCCTGCAGCCATTCTAACTCATCATCCACTTTTTTTTTCATGACGTAAGGCTCTGTCCTGGGCTTCAAAAAGTGAGGCTCGACCTGAGGATCCACAAACAGCTTAACTGCTGTGCCCTGTAGTGTGCCCAGTTCATCTTTGAAAATCTCTGGGTACTTTTGAATGACATCCTCAGTCACTTGTGTGTGTTTTATCTCACCCAAGTTCAGTTGTATTTTGGTGAGCCAGTCACGCCCTAGTAAACTAGGCCCATTCCCTTTCACCACCAGGAGCCGTGCTCTCACTTCCTGGCTGTTGTATGCAATGTCCACCTCTAGAGCCCCCAGCAATGGTATGGTCTCCCCGGTGTACGTACACAGTCTGATCCCTGCCGGTGTGAGAGCCCCACATTTGTTTGTAGGTCTCCTCACTGATGACAGAGGCAAAGGCCCCCATGTCAACCTCCATCCTCATCTGCTTTCCATCTACCTTCACTGTAGAATAGATAGGCTCTGCTCACTCACATTAAACATGTTGTAGGAACAATGCTCTTCCTCCTCCTCTGTGCTCTCTAGGTGGTGTGCTGCTGACTATGGCTTTGTTGCTGTGAACTTGCCCTGCCCAGTCTGCCCACCCTCTGGCTTGCTCCTAGGACCCCTGCATTTTTTAGCTAAATGTCCCTTTTTGTTGCAATTGTGACAGACAGTATCCTTGAACATACAGTTGTTTGCATAATGTGTTCCCCCACATCTGAAACATTCCACTGTTTTTCCCCTTTTTCCTGCCGCCTCTTTTGTCACCTGTTGCACTGCACAACTTCCACTGTTGGCCTTTTAAATATGTTTTAGCATTACTAGCGGCCATCTCCATCCCTTGAGATAGTTCCAATGCTCTCTTGAAAGTCAGTGTGGCTTCCCCCAGCAAACGCCGCTGTATGCTGTCCTCATTAATGCCACAGACTAATCTGTCACGGAGCATGTCCTCTAACATAGCCCCAAATTCACAATGTTCAGAGAGTTCACGTAATTCAGCAACAAAGTTAGCAACAGACTGACCTGTTTTCCGAAAATGGCAGTTAAACTTGAACCTCTGGACAATCACTGAAGGCTTTGGATTGTGGTGAGTCTGAACGAGAGCAATTAGATCCACAAAAATAATTTATCCCGGTCTCCGTGGTGTAGCCAAATTCCTCATTAGCTTGTATGTTTTTAGCCCCACACACACTCAAGAGAATAGAGCGCTGTTTAGCCTCATCTGGTATTCCATTTGCCAAGAAAAAGTGTCCCAACCTTTCCACATATTCCGTCCTGTCCTCGTTCTCTTCCTCAAACTCAGTGATCATCCCAAACATTGCCATTGTAACGCCAACTTGTCCTTGATCCTCGTTAGCGATTTTTACTTGCTGCTGATTGTCACCGTCGGAGTTTCCCTCCAGCGGCGGCAGCTCTCCGTCGCTCATTAAGCTAGCTAGCTAACTGACTAAATCCACTGTTTCTTAGCTAGCTAGCACATCACCCTGTACATGCTGATCAAGTTTTATCCTCGTCGCCAAAAATATGTAGTGACTTGACAAGGAATGCCCACACTATACAGCCATGTACAAACGGTACAAATGCAGAAAAACGATACAGCTCATTCAACATGTGGTAGAGTCGCATTTTACAGATCCGACTCTGGGTGATGACATCATCAAAGGGGAAAGGTCACGGCCAATGCCAATAATAACCATGCACACATGAATAGTAATCATACTATACTGCAGGTAAGCACAATCCATATTCAATGTAATTATTTATATAGTGTCCACCTTATAACAGTAATATACTGTACAATCCCATAAAACGTAAAGATCCACCCCTCATACACCAGGTCCATGACACTCACCTGCTCACGGTAATGAACAACCCTCTCAGCTCTCTTAGGTACCTGTTCTGTCGGACTAAGGACATAAAACAGGACTTCTACAAAAAGCAAGTTCAAACTGAACCATTGAATATTCCACCTAAACTGTAACTTTCAGGCCCTGCTAACCAAACAAGGGTGAGTCTTGGAAGTGAACTGTTGCCTCCAGAAGCCATTCCAGAGAAAGGAATGTGACTGTGAGAGAAAATGGCTTCCAAATTGTTGTGCATATCTCCTGTCCATTGTGTCATGACATCTTCAAGGATCCAGTCCTACTATATTGTGTAGCCACAGCTTCTGTAAAGCCTGTCTGCAGAAACACTGGGGAGAGAAGGAAGAAAAGGAATGTCCTGTACGCAAGAGAAAATCTTCAATAGAGCTTTTCCTTAACCTGGCTCTAAAGGACATATGTGAGGGCTTCTTACAGGAGAGAGCTTCAACAGACTCCAAAAGTGCTATGCAGTCTGCACAGGGAGAAATTCAAGCTCTTCTGTCAGGAGGATAAACAGACAATCTGTGTGGAATACCAGACCTCAATAAAACATAAATACTGGATCAGACCCATAGATGAGGCTTCACAGGTTTACAAGGTATAGGAAAATATTGATTTATATTCAATAAAGATTATTTGTATTTACTATTCATAAAACAAGCAAAAACATGGATAGAAACTTTAAACAATTTTTTCCTGATGGTTTTCAGTCTGTAGGGCAACAAAATGTTTAAATTGTGCAAGGGGGTGTATATTTTCTATAGACACTACAGCCGTTTACCAAGTTTCCCTGTCTGATGTCATACATGTTTGAGTTTATCCACGCCGATCACTTATAATTTTAAAACAGTGTTGTGTTCTCTCTGTTAAGCTCCTGTGATTCTAGACCCCAACACTGCCCACCCAGTTCTCATCCTGTCTGAGGATCTGACCAGTGTCAGAGTCAGAGAGACACAGCAGCTTCCTGACAACCCAGAGAGATTTGATAGCTATAAATGGCTCCTGGGCTCTGAGGACTTCCACTCAGGCACACACAGCTGGGACATTGAGGTTGGGGACAGTTATGGTCACTGGGTGTGATACAGGAGGGTGTCCAAACGAAGGGAGTAGTTAAGAGTATGTACTGGTCATTGAAGCAGTTTGATGCAAAATACACAGCACAGTCGCCACCAGGACCGTCCATTGACCTGACTGTAGCACAGAAACCCCAGAGGATCAGTGTGCAGCTGGACTGGGACAAAGGAACGCTGTCCTTCTCTGACCCTGTTAACAACACACACATACACACATTCACACACACTTTCACTGAGAGAGTATTTCCATTAATTGGTGATTACGGCAAACACCAGCGTCTAAGCATCTTGGCAGAGGACGCCTTTGTAACAGTGGAACAGCCCTGCAATGCTAATTACACACTGCCAAATACAGCGGAGGTTAAACACTCCACAATGCTTAGGTCTTTTCATTTTTAATTAGTCAGCAATGTTCAATAAAAATAAACAAATGCTCCTTGCACATCCATGTATTGATAGACCTGTTCTTTGAGTGATAGGTGACCAGTGGAGATCAGCCAGGATGGGGATAATGTGGGCAGACTTTTTTTTAGTTTTTGTCAGAATCCTTGTGGCACTGTTTTGGATGAGCTGTAATCTGTTGATTGAAAGTACAAGTAGGCCTACAACCACTGCGTATCGATAATAAATTCGAGAAAAATAATTAAAAATACAATGAAATTGTTTTTGTTGATTGTAGGGATGAATGTTTTGTATAAGCCTACAGATAATTGTTTTGTATAGGCATACAGATAATACTGCTTTTAGTTTTTCTGCACCTTACTTGAGGAATAATCTCCAAAATGGTCTAAAATGTGATGTTTTGGTGCCTCTAGGGCAATTCAGATGGCTGATTGGTGACCTTTTTACTGAAGATTGTGTTTGTTTTTTATGATTGTGTTATGTATCTCTCTGCTTTCATAGTGTATTGATGTGTATATTTTTGTAATTACAGGGCTCGAATGAAAAAGAGACCTTGTTCTCAGCATGATTCCCTGTCAAAATAAAGGTTAAATAAAATACTGTGGCTAAACAGCATTGAAACACAAGTTTCTACAATACAGAATGGGACATGGGAGTGTTAGCAGAGTCTGTCAAGAGGAAGGAAATAATTGAGAGTGGATATATACTATTGTCAGAGGAGGAGCTTACATTTACATTTACATTTTAGAGGGCTCCGGGCAGCCGAGCGGAAATGGAGGAAAACTAGACTCCCTGCGGACCTGTCATCTTTTCACTCCCTCCTCTCTACATTCTCTTCCTCTGTTTCCGCTGATAAAGCCACTTTCTACCACTCTAAATTTCAAGCCTCTGCCTCTAACCCTAGGAAGCTCTTTGCCACCTTCTCCTCCCTGCTGAATCCTCCTCCTCCTCCCCCTCCCTCCTCCCTCTCTGTGGATGACTTTGTCAACCATTTTGAAAAGAAGGTTGATGACATCCGATCCTCATTTATTAAGTCAAATGACACCGCTGGTCCTGCTCACACTGCCCTACCCTATGCTTTGACTTCTTTCTCCCCTCTCTCTCCAGATGAAATCTTGTGACTTGTGACGGCCGGCCGCCCAACAACCTGCCCGCTTGACCCTATCCCCTCCTCTCTTCTCCAGACCATTTCCGGAGACCTTCTCCCTTACCTCACCTCGCTCATCAACTCATCCTTGACCACTGGCCATGTCCCTTCCGTCTTCAAGAGAGCGAGAGTTGCACCCCTCCTCAAAAAACCTACACTCAATCCCTCCGATGTCAACAACTACAGACCAGTATCCCTTCTTTATTTTCTCTCCAAAACTCTTGAGCGTGCCGTCTCTAGCCAACTCTCCTGCTATCTCTCTCAGAATGACCTTCTTGATCCAAACCAGTCAGGTTTCAAGACTGGTCATTCAACTGAGACTGCTCTTCTCTGTGTCACGCAGGCTCTCCGCACTGCTAAAGCTAACTCTCTCTCCTCTGCTCTTATCCTTCTAGACCTATCCGCTGCCTTTGATACTGTGAACCATCAGATCCTCCTCTCCACCCTCTCCGAGTTGGGCATCTCCGGCGCTGCTCACTCTTGGATTGCGTCCTACCTGACAGGTCGCTCCTACCAGGTGGCGTGGCGAGAATCTGTCTCCACACCACGTGCTCTTACCACTGGTGTCCCCCAGAGCTCAGTTCTAGGCCCTCTCCAATTCTCTCTATACACCAAGTCACTTGGCTCTGTCATATCCTCACATGGTCTCTCCTATCATTGCTACGCAGACGACACACAATACATTTTCTCCTTTCCCCCTTCTGATAACCAGGTGGCGAATCGCATCTCTGGCAGACATATCAGTGTGGATGTCGGATCACCACCTCAAGCTGAACCTAGGCAAGACGGAGCTGCTCTTCCTCCCTGGGAAGGACTGCCCGCTCCATGATCTCGCCATCACGGTTGACAACTCCATTGTGTCCTCCTCCCAGAGTGCAAAGAGCCTTGGCGTGACCCTGGACAACACCCTATCGTTCTCTGCTAACATCAAAGCGGTGACCCGATCCTGCAGGGTCATGCTCTACAACATTCACAGAGTCGACCCTACCTTACACAGAAAGCGGCACAGGTCCTAATCCAGGCACTTGTCATCTCCCGTCTGGATTACTGCAACTCGCTGTTGGCTGGGCTCCCTGCCTGTGCCATTAAACCCTTACAACTTATCCAGAACGCCGCAGCCCGTCTGGTGTTCGACCTTCCCAAGTTCTCTCATGTCGCCCCGCTCCTCTGCACACTCCACTGGCTTCCAGTTGAGGCTCGCATCTACTACAAGACCATGGTGCTTGCCTACGGAGCTGTGAGGGGAACGGCACCTCCTTACCTTCAGGCTCTGATCAGACCCTACACCCAAACGAGGGCACTACGTTCATCCACCTCTGGCCTGCTAGCTCCCCTACCTCTACAGAAGCACAGTTCCCGCTCAGCCCAGTCAAAGCTATTTGTTGCTCTGGCACCCCAATGGTGGAACAAGCTCCCCCACGACGCCAGGACAGCGGAGTCACTGACCACCTTCCGGAGACACTTGAAACCTTACCTCTTTAAGGAATACCTGGAATAGTATAAAGCAATACTTTTACCCCCCCTCCCCCACCCCCCCATAAAAAAAATAAGAAAAAAATTGGTTGTCCCACTTGCTATCATAAGTTGAATGCACCAATTTGTAAGTTGCTCTGGATAAGAGCATCTGCTAAATGATGTAAATGTAAAAAGTAAATGTCATTTAGCAGATGCTCTTATCCAGACAGGACGGGCTCGTTGTAATGGCTGGAATGGAATTATTGGAACGGAGTCAAACGTGGCTTCCATATGTTTGGTGTGTTGGATACTGTTCCATTTATTCCATTCAAGCCATTAAAATGAGCCCATCCTCCTATATCTACTCTCACCAGCCTCTTCTGATTATTGTATATTATTCTGAAGATAAACATGTAGCACAGTCCCCACTGGGGTTGTCCACTGACCTCACAGTGGCACAGAAATCCCAGAGGATCAGGCGCTGTCATTCTCTGACCCTGACCTGTTAACAACAACACATCTTCAAACAGACTTTCATTGAGAGTCTTTCCACATCTAAACAATGGAAGAATAAATACCCTAATGAGAATCTTACCAATGAAGACCTCTGTAGTGGAACAGCACAGTTGGAGCATCTGTCTGTAACAGTGAAAAAGCACAGCTGGTTAAGTGGAGTGTTAAAAATGGTTGTATGTTTGGGGTGTTGAGTGGCTCTATACAGTATATACCATAATTGAGTTATGGTATATAAAGCCTATTTGTTTACCATTTCATGTCTTGGCTTAGTTTATAAAGTAGCCTAATTGTAATAAATCCAGTTGTGCCAGGTAAATAAAATGGATGTCAAGTGAATCATTGGTTGGTTGTGTTTCTTCAACGTGGTCCTCTGTAGCTCAATTGGTAGAGCATGGCGCTTGTAACGCCAGGGTAGTGGGTTCGATCACCGGGACCACCCATACCTAAAAATGTTAGCACATGACTGTAAGTCGCTTTGGATAAAAGCATCTGCTAAATGGCTTATTATTAAACAATCAAATATCCACCATTTAATTGGTTTGGATTTTGCCATTTTTGTAGTCCCACTCACCGGGTCGTCACTAGTTACCACAGCCACAAAGTAATTAACCCCGCCTATTTCTACCAATTTAAACCTAACATTAACCACACTGCTAACCTTATGCCTAGCCCGAACCTTAAATTAAGAGCAAAAATCAAATTTTTGTTTTCATAAATTTTTACGATATAGCCAATTTTGACGTTGACGCTGTGGAACCCACACACCGTGTCCATCATCATTTCATTTCACTAGGAGACTTTAGCGCTGCTAGCTACATCATCTTGAGACAACTGCGAAACGAAGGAAATCCATCCCAGTCAAGAACCGAGTAAAGGAGGCGCCGATAGCTAGATTCCTGAACCTGTATTTCTCTATTGCTGGGGCAAATAAACGGTTCAGAAATGGTAAGAATAGCTCGTTTTTCTATTGTCTAAGTGCCATGAAGCTTTTATTTGTGCTAGTTAGTTAGCTATCTAGCAAGGCAGCAGCTCGTTGTGGGTAGCCGCGCGAGCAAGATATGTTTTGGCGAATAATCCTGACTCATTGAACAGGGTGCCATTTTAATTTTCATCTGTAGAAATTATGGTTTTAACCTCACATTTAGTTAAGAACGTTTTCTGGCCCATCAACCTTATCAAAATACGTTAAAATGAATTAGACCGACGGCTAGTTATCTGTTTCAACAATGGCAGCTACGCTGTTTAGAAAGCTAACCTAGCTAGCTAACGGCTGTCGTTCTTTCGGCTAGCTGCGTCAGCTAACATTAGATAGGTTAGCTAACGTTAGCTATGCTAACCGAATAATGGTGATGTTGCTTTAGCTAGCTACATAACTAGCCCATGAAAATGTTGGCTTTTATGTTGATTTAGAGAACAAGTCTCTAGCTAGTAACTTATACCAACAATATCTAACAAGCATGAAAAAGTCACCGTGTTACAGTATGTGCTCAAATGTTTTGTTATTAACTAACGTTAGCGAGTTAGTTGGCTGGCCAACCAGCCAACAACAACAGTTCATGACACTCACTAGTCTGGCTAAATGCTGTTGGCAAGCCAGTCTGTAATATGGAGAGTATTGGTCTATATTTAGTTATGACAATACAGGTGAGCTCGAAGGCAAGCTGCTTTTGGGCCTCTGTAACATTGAAGAGATTGCCCACTAACGTACATTTAATTTGCTCTAACTATTTATTTAACCATAATACATTGCTCTGTCCAACCGAAGTACTGAAGTCTTTACCCTCTTTGGACTCTACTGTCACTAAACTACTCATTTGGTCTGAGTATCACAACAAACAATTATTTCTGCTCTGTCAAGGCAGAGTGGTAAGCCAGGTGTAATGTAAGTGAGGGAAAGACAGTGTGTGAATGGAACAGTCGACTTTCAGGTCATGTAGGTCTAGTTAGTGTTTGGTTTCAGTGGGACAGAAATCTGACCCTGCATGCCTCACACTCACTAACCACCCCAGTAATAGCTTCCCCACCAATCACTAACTACCCCATGATGGCTAGTAGGAGACAACCCCTTCATACTCTGCTAGTCTCCAGGCTCTGTGCTTCCCTGACTTCCTCTCAGGCAAGACTGCTGTACTCCTGTAGGAAATAGAGCAGCCTGACATCTCATTGTTCTGTTCCTCTGAGTCAGTCAGCAAAGCGCCTGTTTTGATACAACCTGAGGAAACATGGATGCTAGACGTAGTGTGCGTGTGCAAGGCTGAACACCCCATCCCCGCCTTTACCTTAGCTGACCTGTGTCTGTTTAACATGTGAGGGGCGTACTGATGCTGACTGCTGAGAGGCTGTGACTATAAAATCAATCCTGGTGTGGGTGCGTGCGCACTAGCCTTTCAAATGCTGAGCTGAGTGAGAATCAAAAGCTGCTTACACTAATGAAATAGCCTGCCTTATTGCCCAACAACACACACACACCCTTCACTCCAAGCTAGAAAGCAATTAAATGGTTCCCAATACACTGTGATTGTAGCACAGGATTGCATGTTCCTGAGGCATAGCTTTTGTATTATCTGATACACCATATCCCTGTTCTGTGAATGAGTCACTCTTTCACGGTTAGAGCATTGGGCCAGTAACCAAAAGGTTGCTGCTTTGAATACCTGAGCCGACAAGGTGAAAGATGTGCCCATGAGCAAGGCACTTAACCCTAATTTACTCCAGGGGTGGCATACTATTATGGCTGACCCTATAAGACAACACATTTCACTGCACCGATCTGGTGTATGTGACAAAACATATTTATTCATTAATTGTTTTGCACCTGAGGTTTACTTTTACATTAAAAAAAAACATTTTTGTCATTTAGCAGGCGCTCTTATCCAGAGCGATTTACAGTAGTGAGTGCATACTTTTTCATACAGGTCCCCTGTATCAAGCCCTCTACCCTGGCGTTTCAAGCGCCAACTGAGACACACAGGACCTTTAGGCATTGGGTTTGTTAAATCTGTTGTCAATAAGGAAGTAGGTTAATCTTCTCTCGTTGAGAATATCTGATTGGGTGGAAGGCTAGCGAGGTGGTTTAGCTCTGTGTGTCTGTTTATTACATTGTTGGTATGTGTGTTAATGTAAATGTAGGGTATTAGGTAGGGCCAGGACAATGTCAGTATCGCAATCTTTTTTCCATGGCAAAAATGAAAACACGAAGCAGACCTAACTCTTTGGTACTTTAAAAACCTGTAAAATATTGTGTGCTATAGTTTGGAAAATAAATAAATGTGACTCTGGATGAAAACATAATGATGTTTGTTTCCAACATTAGGGCTGTTTTCCTATAGAAGTTAAATCCGCTTTGTGTTTAGTTTCCTTGCCATGATACTAACGAGTACTGCGATACTGGTATCGTCCCAGCCCTAGTAAGGTTCAGTGATTCTGGCCAGGACACAATGACTGAGGTAGCCTAATGAGATTTACCGGACTGCTTTCCCACGACTACAGCTCTCTCTCTCTTCCCTGAATCATTGTGCCATTACGGTTTCTCACGGTTGTATTGTGTTGTTAATGTATAATTTCCTGCAGAAATGCCCAACTGGATTAGCTAGATATTAAAACATCCCCATTAGCTGACGCTATTAGAAAGGTTACGTTACTGTTGACACTCTAGTCTAGCACAGATGTTAGTTACTATTAGCAAACAGCCCTGAGGGGTATACTACAATTGGTAGAGCATGGCGCTTGTAACGCCAGGGTAGTGGGTTCGATCCCCGGGACCACCCATACGTAAAAATGTATGCGCACATGACTGTAAGTCGCTTTGGATAAAAGCGTCTGCTAAATGGCATTATTATTATTATTATTATTATTACAATGCAGGTTCAATGAGTTAGCCAGCTAACTTGTCTAAATGTTGAAATGGGCATGGTCTCTGACTCAACAACCAAGAAATCAATAGGTATTTTGGTTGTTTATCAAAGTTAGCTGGCTAACTCATTGAACCTGCTTTGGAGTATACCCCTCTGGGGTCCTTCCTAGAAACAACACATGATGGGGTCGTGAACTTTGCAGTAGAGGGACATGATGATGTTGATGTGTCAGGTTTCACAACCAACTGTGAGGAAATCACTGTCATGGCCTCCATGTTCACAGCATGGACATCCTGTCTTTATTGCAATTTTTAAAGGACTCCTGCCATCATGCGTGCACACACACTGCTACTGGTGTGTCTAAATATAACATGGGAGAACTAGGCCTATCCACCAATCTAGTGCTGGTCATAAGCACGAACGCACACAAACTGCTTGTCAACAGTGTCAGGAAGTAAATAGTGTTCCGGTTGCGACACAAACCAAACAAACATCATCAGCCATGGGCCTAAATGACAGTAAATGACCAGAGATGGAGACAAGGCTGGCTGTCCTCTGCTATATATAGACCATCTGCCTGGCTGTCAACAACAATGAGCCTCACTTCCCTTCTCTCACTCTCTCTTCATATCTTTGTAAATTGGAGAGGGACATTGTTGATGTTGCCATTTCCTGGTCTCCTGGCCAATCCAGGGTTTATATTACATAGGGATGTATCTGACTGTAAACTTATTGATACATTAATCAATGTCTTTGGACTGTGGAGAGCTCCTCTCATGTTGAATGTACTGCTGTTTCTGTCACAGTATTCGAGGCCAGTCTGCCTGCCAGAGGACTGGGAAGGAAGTAGCCTGGGCCTAAAGTGGACTAATCTGTCATTAGTTAGCTGTAATCACGTAGTTCATAGTTCAGCTGCTAGAAAGGACAGCAACTGATGAACAAGTACATTCGATTTTTGTTCAGTTCTGTTTTTTGTTCTTCATTCGGAGTTAGGATAGTAACCACTGTTTTCTGTCTTATTCCCCCAGGTCTTGTGGTGAGGTGTTGCTGCGTAAGGCTGTGAGGAGGAGCAACTGCAGACTGAGCCAAACTTACTGATACACACTCACCAGCCTCCCATGGACGGCACACTCTGAGACAACATCTGTGAGGAGAGAAACAACAGGAGAGGGAGCAGAGGAGAGGAGAAGGAGCAGAGGAGAAGGAGAGCAGGAGGGACGTGACGATGTCGTCCAACAGGAACCAGAACCCCCATGGGCTGAAGCAGATCGGGCTGGACCAGATCTGGGATGACCTGAGGGCCGGCATCCACCAGGTGTACACACGGCAGAGCATGGCCAAGTCACGCTACATGGAGCTCTACACGTATCCCACACGCTAAAGGGGGAGGGGACGGGTGAAGGCCAGGTGTACATGAGGGGAGGGGGTGGAATTGAAAGGGTTAAATTGGTAAGGCTGCCGTAATTTCCCTTTGAGGCGTGTTTAGGCCTACTTCCCAAAGTGGAAGCTCACAACAGTATGCAGTGTCATTATGGTGTTGTGTTCATGGGTGTGTCCTAGTGGTGCAATACTAACTGATGGGCTAGGTCACATCACATGTAGAGGTCAGAGTCCTGCTGCAATAGACCTGATACCACCACAGATTCTCTGTTTCTGTCTTAACTCCCCTGCCTGTCAGCCATGTGTATAACTACTGTACCAGTGTGCACCAGTCCAGTCAGGGCCGGGGGTCTGCCGTCCCCACCAAGCCCTCCAAGAAGAGCAGTACTCCTGGGGGGGCCCAGTTCGTAGGCCTGGAACTCTACAAGAGACTCAAGGAGTTTCTCAAGAACTACCTAACCAGTCTGCTCATGGTGAGTGGTACTGTGACATGGGGATTCCATCCTCTCCTGACCCTCTGGCACTTTGATGACCTTTCACAGATTTTTTTTATTTATTTTACCTTTATTTAACTAGGCAAGTCAGTTAAGAACAAATTCTTATTTACAATGACTGCCTACACCGGCCAAACCCGGACGACGCTGGGCCAATTGTGCACCGCCCTATGGGATCTAATGTGTGGTTGGATACAAGGACAATATGGTGCCAATTCCACCTATCATTGTTTACTCTCTCTTTAACTGTTCCTTATTTCCTTTGGTGACCAATGCGTCTTTCCATCTCTACTCTCTCTCTCTCCCCTCCCTCCCAGGATGGCGAGGACCTGATGGATGAGTGTGTGTTAAAGTTCTACACACAGCAGTGGGAGGACTACCGGTTCTCCAGTAAGGTGCTGAATGGGATCTGTGCTTACCTCAACAGGCACTGGGTCAGACGTGAGTGTGACGAGGGACGCAAGGGCATCTACGAGATCTACTCGGTGAGAGGAAGGGAGGGAGGGAGTGTCTGTGTGTGTGTGCCAATTTTCAACTGTAAAAGATGAGTGAATTATTACATTTGCATTTTATCATTTAGCAGACGCTCTTATCCAGAGCGACTTACAGTTTTTTAGTGAGTGCATACATTTTCATACTGGCTCTCTCTCCTCCATTTATCCCTCCTCTTCTCTAGTTGGCTTTGGTAACGTGGAGGGAGTGTCTGTTCAGACCCCTAAACAAACAGGTGGGTATGATGATGATGTCACATCTGACTGACACAACACATGCACGGTAAATAGAATCACCAACCACGTCAGTTCAGTGTTTTTCACTGTGTCGTTCTATGTGTAAGCTGCCATCTTATTCTAAGACGGTGAACGTAATTCATACATTAATTGACTTTACACCGCTCTCTCTCTCTCAGGTAACGAATGCGGTCCTGAAGCTGATAGAGAAGGAGAGGAATGGAGAGACCATCAACACCAGACTCATCAGTGGTGTAGTGCAGTCCTACGGTACAACACACATCAAACCAATCCATTTCCAGTTTTCACTTAGACACGTGTTTATAAAATATCATCACATTCCAGTACATCACAGAATTCTCTCAATAGAAGTGTCAGATTGACGGGGTGTGTGTTTTGTTTCCTACAGTGGAGCTGGGGCTGAATGAGGAGGATGCGTTTGCTAAGGGTCCTACACTGTCAGTGTATAAAGAATACTTTGAGTGCCAGTTCCTCACGGATACTGAACGCTTCTACACACGAGAGAGCACTGAGTTCCTCCAACAGAACCCTGTTACTGAGTACATGAAGAAGGTGAGAGAGAGAGAGAGAGAGAGAGAGGAGGGAGAAGGGAGAAGGGGAGGGGAAAAAAGAGGGTGGGAGTAGCAGCAGTGACAGGTGTAGCACCAGGAAGTTAACCTTGTGTGTGTGTGTAGGCGGAGGCCCGTCTGCTAGAGGAACAGAGGCGTGTGCAGGTGTACCTCCATGAGTCCACTCAGGATGAGCTGGCCAGGCGGTGTGAACAGGTGCTCATAGAGAAACACCTGGAGATCTTCCACACAGAGTTCCAGAACCTACTGGATGCTGACAAGAACCAAGGTAGGTAAGGGTAGTGGGGGTGGGGGGGTTAAGCTGCTCAACCCAGGAAATGGAAAATACAATAGAGAATAAGTATAAGGAGTTATATATGCCTTGCTGTTATGAGTGCCTCTGTTTTGTTTAGACAAAAGTTGTGTGTACTCAGTCTCTCGCTCTCTCTCTGCTCCCTCATTCTCTATTTTTTTTCTCTTTTCCTCCCTCTCTCAGATCTAGGTCGGATGTATAACTTGGTGTCTCGAATAACGGATGGTCTGGGAGAGCTAAAGAAACTCCTAGAAACACACATCCACAACCAGGGCCTGGCCGCTATAGAGAAATGTGGAGAGGCCGCTCTCAACGTATGTATACACACACACACACACACACACACGCACCCACACACACACACTTACCTGTCTGTCTGTCTGTATGTGTGTGTTTGTCCCTCCCAGGACCCTAAGGTGTATGTCCAGACCACTCTGAACGTCCATAAGAAGTACAACGCTCTGGTCATGTCTGCCTTCAACAACGACGCTGGCTTCGTAGCTGCTCTAGACAAGGTGCACTCTAGCTTTTAATAAACAACTTTTTTTCTCCTTAACAAAACGATGTACTAGGGATTCCTATATAAATACCCAGAACTGATGTTGTAGTGTGTTCTCGCTCCAGGCGTGTGGTCGTTTCATCAACAACAACACAGTCACTAAGATGGCCCAGTCCTCCAGCAAATCACCTGAACTACTGGCTAGATACTGTGACTCTCTGCTCAAGAAGAGGTGGGTGCTCTACTGTATGGCACTGGGGCTATTGTCTGTCTGTCTCTCTGATGTAACTAATCATTCACTGTTCTGTTCCCCAGTTCTAAGAACCCAGAAGAGGCAGAGTTGGAGGACACACTCAACCAAGTGGTGAGGACCTACTCTTCGTTCATAAACCTTTTGACTTTCTCTTCAGAACTAATTGGAGTTACCAACTCTCAACCTCATGATATCACAATAAACCTTTCATACCTTGATCATTTGTTCTCTCAACGCTTCTCTCCTCTCCCTCAGATGGTGGTGTTTAAGTACATAGAGGACAAGGATGTGTTCCAGAAGTTCTATGCTAAGATGCTGGCTAAACGCCTCGTCCACCAGAACAGTGCTAGCGACGACGCAGAGGCTAGCATGATCTCCAAACTCAAGGTCTGTACCACATATACACACACACAAGCATTTATCCAATCTCACACAGACCGATCACCCCAAGGAATGTAAAAGAAAATATGTAATTTGAAAGTATTGTGACTTTCTCTCTCCCTTAGCAAGCGTGTGGCTTTGAGTACACATCTAAACTACAGAGGATGTTCCAGGACATCGGAGTCAGCAAAGATCTCAACGAACAGTTCAAGAAACACCTGACTAACTCTGAACCTCTCGACTGTAAGCACCTGTCGGTCTGTCTAATAAACCTAATACTTCTGTTTACCGGTATCTGTATTTATTGTAAATGTGTTTACAATGCTAAATAATGAGGTGTGTTACAGTGGACTTCAGTATCCAGGTGTTGAGTTCAGGTTCCTGGCCGTTCCAGCAGTCGTGCACCTTCGCTCTGCCCTCCGAGGTGAGACTCAACTCAATAACTCAACCTTGTAACGATACACACATCACTCCTGTAACGACTCCAACACAACAAAACATACTCCCCAACATATTTATTTGGACAGTGAAGTTAAAATTTTTGATTTGGCTCTATACTCCAGCATTTTGGATTTGAGATCAAATGTTTTGAGGCGATAGTACAGAATTTGCCTTTTTTATTTGAGGGTATTTTCATATCTGTTGTACTGTTTAGAAATGAAAGCACGTCATGTATCTAGTCCCACCATTTGAAGGTGACATAAGTTTTTGGAAAAATACTTTGTGTATTACATTTAGTCTAAAGTTTGGTATTTGCTCCCATATTCCTTGCACACAATGACTACATTGGATTATGTTGTGCCCAATATAAATGAATGCTAAATAATGTATTGTGTAATTTTAGTCACTTTTATTGTAAATAAGAATAAATGTTTCTGAACACTTCTAAATTAATGTGGATGCTACCATGATTACGGATAATCATGAATGAATCGTGAATAATGATGAGTGAGAAAGTTACAGATCCACAAAGATCATGCCCCCAAAACATGCTACCCACTCACCATTACCAATAACAGGGGAGGTACATTTGTTTGGGGGGTATGATATTTATGCCTCTAACTTTCTCACTCCAAATACTTATGACCCCTTCAAATGGAAGGACTAGATTAAAGGTAAAATAAAAATACATAAAGTGCTTTAATTTCTAAACGGTAAAACGGGATATGTAAAAAATAAAGTCCTTAAATAAAGGTGACATTCTGTACCGTCACCTCATATAAAACACTTGATCTCAAATCCAAATGATAGAGTATAGAGCCCAATTAAACGTTTTAGCGTCACTGACCAAATAAATACGGAAGGGATAGTAGGCCTAATACAGCAACCTCTCGTCCTCCAGTTGGAGCGTAGCTACCAGCGGTTCACCGCGTTCTACGGCAGCAGACACAGCGGTCGGAAACTCACCTGGCTCTACCACCTGTCTAAAGGAGAGCTGGTCACCAACTGCTTTAAAAACAGGTACAGATTTGATACAAGGTCACTAGAGTTCAATAAAGGCTCTCCATACTTCACTAGAATCTGGAGATGTACGACATCACTGACTTTAATCCATTGTATGTTCAAGGTACACTCTGCAGGCCTCTACCTTCCAGATGGCTATCCTGTTGCAGTACAACACAGTGGACCTGTACTCCGTACAACAACTCACTGACAGCACCCAGATCAAAACCGTGAGTTATGCTGATACTGTGCTCTAAATAGAGCTGTATTAAATCTAAATAAACGCTTTTAAATGACCCCTGATGAGATTGGCACATTTGTATGTTACTGGCTGTGAATATTGTTTTTACCGTTTTGTGTTGTATTTTAGGACATTCTGGTTCAAGTGTTGCAGATCTTGTTGAAATCCAAATTGCTGGTAAGTGCAAGTCAAGTAGAATGTGTTGTATAACGATAGTCTGTCCACTAGAGGGCTCTGGACTCTGCAGGATAAATGCCTAAGCTTACAAGCTTACAAGCTGATTGGAAAGTAGTCATTTGTAATGCGTCTCTGTGTGTGTGTCAGGTCCTGGAGGATGAGAATGCTAACATAGACGAGGTGGAGTTCAAACCAGAAACCCTGATCAAACTCTTCCTGGGATACAAGAAGTAAGTCCCCTCTGTTTCTCCTCCTTTTGTGTTCTGTCTGGTTCTTGCGTGTTTTCTCTGTCTAAGCATAGATGTAATCCTAAAACAATTTTTTGTTCATGTCTCCAGTAAGAAGCTGCGTGTGAACATTAACGTTCCTATGAAGACTGAACAGAAGCAGGAGCAGGAGACCACACACAAGAACATAGAGGAGGACCGCAAACTCCTCATACAGGTGTGTGTGTGTGTGTGTGTTCCCGACCGCCAATGTTTGAAATGTCAAACTGTACTGAATTTCTCTTTCAGCATGTACCACTAAGTATTATGAACTGTGTGTGTAGGCTGCCATAGTGAGGATAATGAAGATGAGGAAGGTTCTGAAACACCAGCAGCTCCTGGCTGAAGTCCTAAACCAGCTTTCGTCCCGCTTCAAACCCAGAGTCCCTGTCATTAAGGTAACACACAAACTCTTACCTGTCGCAGTACATTCTCAAAGGACACTCACATTGCACCAACTGTAGTATTTTAATATTTTTGTCTTAAAGTACATCCCTTTTTCCTCCTCTTTCTCTGCTACTGTTCTGTCTCCTCTGTAGAAGTGTATAGACATCCTGATAGAGAAGGAGTATCTGGAGAGAGTGGATGGAGAGAAAGACATGTACAGCTACCTGGCTTAACCCGCCCCCTCCCCTCCCCTTTTATTTTTCTTTGTCGTTTTTTAATGTCCGAGTAATAAAGTGTGGTTCTTCTGACTGGCAGACATGTTGTGAGGAGTGTGTGTGCTCAGTGGGACATATACACATGGACACACTATCTTGTTTTGATATGCAAATATGATCAGACCCCATAGCATAGTGCGAAGTCCAACCAGAGAGCTGTGTCCACGGTTATAGCATGCAACTGCCTCCCTGCTAGCTTGGTCTCAGATTGAGGGGTATCCTTCGAAGCAGGTTTGAGGAGTTAGGGTGGTAACTTTGGTCAACTGAGTTCAACTCGGGATAAGCGGGTCATAGGAAAGTAGCTCACCTTTTTAGCCAGGTACATTTATATGGCAACAAATCCTTCAGAACTAACCTGCTCTGGGGCAGGCTAATTCAGGGCTAACTCCATTTACCCTAAATAAGTCTTGAGTTGAGGACCAATGAAATCAGATTCCCTCCCTCTTGCAAAGATTGCCTCATCCCCTTCATTTCAGGATGACTGATATTTGATTAATCAAATGTTTGTGTTAAACGTTACAATATCACATTACATATTTTAGTAATGTCAGAATGCATTTTAAACTTAATGCAATGTAACTTTTGTATGACTTAATACAAAACATTTGATATATATGAGTGGAGTGGGGGGGGTGCTTATGCATTGATCAGCACACCAAAGCCAGAATTAAACGACATAATTTTAAATAAAGAAGGCCCTTCTAAAAGCCTATTTCACACCACAGCCTGCTGGATTTGCAAGATACCATTTCATGCATTTTGATTTCGGCACAAATGAAAATGTGACACTGCCTCGCCCATGGATTGATTTTTCAGCATTGTCTCAATTAATTCGCCGTTCGACTAGCATTGTGCGATATGCACGCAGTTACAAGCCTGCTAGAGTTAGCGGCAGGCAGACAAGCAATATATGCCGCTGTAGTGTACGAATGAAGCCTGAGCTGGTATGGTGAAGCTAGTTAGCTTTAGAAAACCCGGAGTAGCTCTAGCTTGCTTCGTAGGATGCTCTAGCTTGCTTCGTAGGATACTCCTCAGGTGCTGTAGCAGCTAACTATCGTTATCATGCCAGACAAATTGCAGACTGGCATGACAACACATGCACTAGGAGGAGTTGGCTGAAGCACACAACTGGACCAGCAGGCTACCTCCATAAAGCCAGAGTGGAGATGGACTAGCCTATATGGAGAGATAACTGGTTGTACTACCGGTCCGGATGAAGGAAATCAGTTGTCTGCATAAAATGGAGACGCCCCTGCGATTTAGATCTGAGTCTGAGGGCTCTATTCAATCTGTATCGCTGAAGTTCAGCGGAGACTGCATTCACGGTAAACGCTGCATATGTCGTCTCAATCAGAAACTACCTTTTAATTTCTATCGCGTAGAGCACTGAATCAGCACTTCTGGAGAGTGTTGGACCTACTGAACTAGTGCCCCATCCCAAACCCACCCCTAGCCTCTTCCCCCCAGGGTCAGGGTTTCATATGGGATTGGGCCTGTATCATCACTGCAATGAGGAAACCATTTGTATAGTGTGGTTAATTTTACAAATGTGTGCTAAATAAAGTCAAGGTTTCTCTACAGCGGTCTTGTCACTGGCTGGGTTGTTACTTACACCGAGATGTTTTTTTATTTCACCTTTATTTAACCAGGTAAGCCAGTTGAGAACAGGTTCTCATTTACAACTGCGACCTGGCCAAGATAAAGCAAAGCAGTGCAATAAAAACAACACAGTTACATGTGTGTGCATTTTCATTATAGCATTGTATAGTCTATACTGCTTGTTTTACACTTGACTCCTTATTTGAAAGGAATTGTTTGTGCAGTGTAATGTCTGCCAAATTACTCACATTACTGAAGTGGTTTCTGTTATTTTATTATGGATCACATTGAACAATACTCCCTGTAAAGACAGTAAAAATCAGCACCTTGGAAATCAGACAGAGTAGTGGTCCCGGCTAGACAACTGGAGGAAACATAACACAACATTCAATATATAATTTCTGTGTAGAGCAGTTTCCCTGTTCCATATGACAGAAGCACCGCTGTTCTATGTAGTAGACCTATATTTCTATGAACATTCTGTAATTTTTAATCCCACTGGACGCCAGCTGGCTCTACAACTCAGGAAGTATACATCCTAACAGATGGGCGAGACACTAGTCCTCGGGAGCTGCTGTGTCTGCTGGTTTTCCAGTCAGACAGGTGTGAGCTATCTGTGACATTGAATCAATGGATCTCCCAAGAACCAGAGTTCCTCACCCCTGTACTAACACGAGCAACAAACTACTTAAAACAAAGGAGAGTCAGACTTCTCCCATCTACTAAACACAACCGTCAGTCATCTAGATCTGTGTGTAGGCCTTTACAGAACCCTCTCAGCTGCTGGTAAAGTTGACACTAAGTTACAGTTGTAAAAACAGGAGATAAATCGGAGCAGTTTGTCCCACTGCAGGTGAAGACATGAACATTACTTAACATTATTCAAGGCTGGTTGTATTGGTTGAAGTCTGCAGTATTCACAAGCACCAGGCGTCACTAGACTATAGTAGCAGTGAGGTCTTCCCTGGACTATAAACATGGAAGCTTTCGTCATCATGCATTAATCAGATTGTGGACACATCAATAAATCAACACTTAAGGGCTCTAATCAAGTGACTATTCAGTGTTCTAACGACAAGATTCAAGGCACAGCAGAAGTGGATATCTGGGGGTGTTTACAAAACCTCAAGGTTTAGTATGTGAGAAAACATCACACTGTCTTAGCACCATCTAGAATAGAGATTGCGTCAAAGCATGCCTCAGGTGGTCAATGGTCATCAAAAGTTCAAAACATGAAGAAATAAAAGACAGAAGATAGTTTTAGGAATAAACCAGGATATTAAAAAATATATAGTGCTATAGTGCTGCTGGTCAACAGTACTGCTATCACCTCAGATATCAGGATATAGTCTCAAAACAATGTTCCGGCATTCAAGAGTGTGTCTGGGAGTTTGAGACCAAGGTTTGGACACTGGCTAGGGGAGGGGAAAAAGTCACCAGTGACAGCTCTTTTAAACCTGCATTTAGTCTAGCTGGTGGTCAGGGGCTAAGTAAAATGTTCTCAACAACCAGTTGTTATGGTTGAGTCAATGTGTCCATGGATTTGGATCAAGTATAAAAAGTATCACAGCGCTAAAGAGATCCCCTCAGTGGATTTATTAAGACCTGTTTATGTGTGTTTGTTAGCTGTAAATGGAGGAAAGACAGTTCTAGTGACCGTAGCAATGAGTCCCACATATCCCAGAGAACAGGAAGATTTGTTGGTAGAAAAACTATTCAAAGTGAGAAAAAGAGTCAACTTCCCAGAATTCTTGAAGCATCCAGACAATTAGTAATTTGTGTTTCCTGAAGAGAAGAGTGTGTGTGTGTGTGTGTATGTGTGTGTGTAAGGCCTTTGATCCAGAGGAGGTAGAAGAGGGGATCATGGCATCTCTGATTCCCGCTCGATGCCGACGTACTTCAGAGCATCAGCTTGACTGTACCTGAGAGAGATAAACAAGACGAGTTAGGTACAGATGTCAAATCAACCACAAAGTGTGTGAGTATGTGTACGTATAAGTGTCTGTCAGTGAGACACCCTCCTCACAGGGTATTCAGATTGAGATGGCTGGTAAGGCTGCAGACTGGCTGGTTAGTAACACTTATACTGACCGGTAGTCAAAGAAGAGCTCTTCTCCAGTCTGTATGGTTCTCTTAGCAAAGATCCCTATCCTGTGGTCCCCATTCACCATCATCACTGCAGAGAGAGGAGGAGAGAGACTGTTAGCACAACACAGAGGTCTCATCAGTGAATCTCTACATCAGAGTGTTATGTCTGTTGGTCCCATCTGCCGGTGTTTTAGGTTATACACACCAGACTGGATGGATCAGCTGAGATACTATACATCTGGTGGTTTAAACACTGCTGTAGCACAGTTTCTAGTCTAATCCTCTGGGGAAACATTCACCCAAAATCAACTAGTGAAAGTGTTTAAGGCATTGTCTGACCTTTTGCATAGCAGTTGGGGTGGACGGAATGGTTGGCGAAACGAATCTTGTTTCCTTTCCTAGTAGCATCCACTACAAAGTCTGGGTGAGAGAGAGAGAGAGAGAGAGAAAGAATTAGCTTTCCCTCCCAGCTTTTCAAAAACATTATTTCAATACTTTTGTATGCGTGTGTGTTACCGTTGTTGAGGTTGAAGAGGAAGCTACACATGTATTTGTCATAGACCTTCCCTCTGCGATCCGCCTCATCTTGGGAGATTATCTACAAAGAAGGGAGAGAAACACACAAACACAGAACAATTATTTTCCACAGGCTTGTATATTACACACAAGTAAATAAAAACCATCACCCAGACAGAGACAAACACAGGGCCGAGCCTCACCTCTCCACAGTACTCAGAGATGAACTCGTTCTTCTGAACTGGCTCTTTGATGAAGATGCCCCAGCCTGCTACGTCAGACGGAGCTAGGAGCAGGTGCTGAGGGGGAGGGGAGGGGGGGTGAATCACAAGAGAGAGCTACTGATATAAAGTGTGTGTGTCCGTGTGTGTGTGTGTTACCTTCTTGGCTCCCCTCTGTATGGAGCAGTTTTTACAGGAGACGTTCTTGCTGTCCCAGTGTTCAGCGGCTCCACAAGTCAGACAGAGGTCGGGGTCACACTCTCTGACCGCAAGGTAACATGGACACTGTTTAGTGTTACACTGGGCCTTACACCTGCAGCCTGGGAAACGGTTCTGACCTACACACACACACACACACACAAGGTTAGAGTGTGTGGACTGGTTTGCACTGTAATGTAATTGTGGATCCAAATAAAGTATTTAAAAATGTCCTCACACTCAGAGCTGCACTGGCAGAATTTCTCACAGAAGTTCTGAGCAGTGACGCAGGGACAGGAGGAGTCACAGGGCTGGCGGGGGTGGTCACATGGCTGGTAATTATACACGTGGTTGGACGAGCCATCTACAGGAGGGGTTAAGCACAGGACAGTGCCGTCACACAAAGATAAAAACTGATAAATTCATCACATTGATCATAAGAACACATTCAATCACATTCAAAGATTGAGTGAGGCTGCCATGTTAGGAGAGATCTAAAGAAAATTGTCACCTTTCTTCAGTTGGATCTTCCTGCAGTGAGTGGCCCACAACCTGAAACAGTAGATCGGTCAGTAGTCTTTTCCATGGATGTTGACAACCAGAGCTTCTGACTATGTCCTGCAGTCAGCCCATTACTGTACCCTGAAGTAGTCTGTCCATATTTGGGCATGGTGTACCTGTGTTTCCTCTTCTTCTTGCGAGGGGGCGTGTCTTCGTCCTCGGCCGGAGCGCGAGCGATGATACTAGACTCCTTCACTCTGAACTCATATACCTAGAGACACAATCACACATTACCAGACAATATACAAATTGTCTTTCCATAAAACCTGCCAAGTAAAAAGGAAGGAATCGGAGAGAAAGAGATAGTCTTCTATATCTTCTTCCGCATGGGTGCTGTCGTAATACAAACACACCTGTCTGCAGGTCTTGGTTCCTATGAGCCGTGCTATACAAACACACCTGTCTGCAGGTCTTGGTTCCTATGAGCCGTGCTATACAAACACACCTGTCTGCAGGTCTTGGTTCCTATGAGCCGTGCTATACAAACACACCTGTCTGCAGGTCTTGGTTCCTATGAGCCGTGCTATAGCGCAGTAGTTGTCATAGTAGGTTCCGATGAGAACCCTAAAGAGTGAAGCCTCGGCTCCGCTCCAATCGACAACCTGAGGATCACACGTCAGCTTCAACTTCACTGGAGTCTGGCACCGTGAGTTACCCTCTGGAATACACAAAAGGCAATGGTTAGTGTGTGGGTGTGTGTATAGGACTGGGTATGGAGTTTGGCTGGCGTGTGCACGTGTGTATGTACCTGAACTACTGGTGGTCTCCTCCTTCTTATCATCATCATCATCATCTTTGTCGTTGTCGTCGTCTTTCCCCTCCTGCTCACTGTCCGTGTCTTTGGTATCCGTGGAGACCGTTGGTGTGCTGGGCCGGCTGTTGCCGCTGGGTCGTCCCCGGCGACGGCTCACGGGGCGTTTGGAAGGGGTCTTGGACCTCTCAGTTGCCATGCCGTCAGGGTACTCCCTTACCAAACCATCCTAGACAACCACCACACAACAACAGTCAGAACTGAAGGTGTGTGTGTGTGTGTGTGTGTGTGTGTGTGTGTGTGTGTGTGTGTGTGTGTACTTGCCTGCACCAGGTACATGTAACACTCGTCACCACATGGTTTACTGTCCACCAGATTCTCCATGTTCTTACGCTTATAGGTGTTAGGAGTTGCATGGAAGGCTGGAGAGAGAGATACAAAGAGGAGAGAGATGAGTGGTCGTAGTGAAGTCAGAGTGTTGGTGCAGAACAGTCCAAATGTGGTGAGAGAGTGTGTGTGTGTGTCTGTGTCCGTACACTCACGGTGCAGGAAGCAGTCGTATTTGAAGCAGCGTCGGCAGAAGAGTGTGTGGAAGGAGTGTAGACTCTGTTCTCTCTGAACGGAGCGAGCGTTAGGACCGTCCATGTTAGGAGTACACTCTGGAGGCAATGCACCGGGCAACTGGGGCTCTGTCAGCTCCTTGTACCTGATAACATCCACACCATTAGATCTGAGACAGGACAGGAATATGCACTACTGACAGACACACGGGCTGGCACAATAATCGTATTATCGTGTAACCAACAATTATGGACAATAACTGAGCTTTAAAAAAATGATTGTCATAATCATCTTCATAGATTCATTTTAGGAATGGGGGGGGGGGGATTAATCTATATTTTCAAGTAGATATAGTTTACCCAATAGCAGTTTCTTTTTTTACATCAAGAGGGTAAAGTTGGTAATCGTTTTACGAGCAGAACGGCACAGTTGGGAGAAGGTTCATTTCCAAAAGCTCCAAGCATTAGTTTGAGAGACAGGGGTGCCATCAAAGCTGTGTTGTATTCATTAGGTATGACAAACCTAATTTTCAAAGATGCATTATGTACATTACAAGCTCCAAACATTTTTCACAAAATATGACACTCATTACAACAACCGTGGCCATTTGTATGACAATTAATCGTTACTCCATCATCGTCACAGCCCTAATAGATACACATACACTTTATATGAAACACACACACACAGATGGGTAGTTACTTTTCTCGAAGTTCCTCTGTTGAGCCCTTATCAGGGAACATTGAGGAGATGGCTTCAAAGATCTTATCAGACGGAAACTTCTTAGAGCTGTCACTGCTGCCTTGGCCTGCAAGCAGAGGACACAAAGGGGTTACACACACACAATTTCTTCCATCAGTCACTGCGTCAGCCCACACAGGACACAGGAGAGCGTAAGGAGAGATACAAATCTGAAAGGACAAGGACCTAGGGGAGAGATCTGTGAGATAAAGTGTGAGGGAATGGTTTTGGGATAAGGGCCCATATCTATTCTTGGTTGGATGATAGCAGTGGCCATCTTACTGTCAGTGTTGATCAGGGGTTCCTTTCGGGGGTCCTCGGCCAGGTGGTCCTTCCCCTCACACAGCTCCATCTTCTCCAGCTTAAACTCCTGCTCTTCATCATCATCATCATCATCATCGTTGTCACTGTACTGGGTCAGGGCACCCACCAGCTCCACAAAGATCTCATCGTTGATGAAGCCGCACTCTGGAAACACACACACACAGTCATTTAACATGAATACACACCACACATCCAACAACACAAGATTTGATCATATCAAATATTTGTGTGCACACGTGCATGTCTTACCCCTGTCTCCGTGAACTTTGCCGTCGTAGTTCTTGATGAGTTCTTCTATGAAGGTTCCGTCTTGGTCCAGAATCTCATCTCCCATGTAGGGGATGTTGTGGAGAACCGTCTCATCTTCTACCTACAAGGCAGACCAGGTGTGTCAGGACAACTCCATTATAGTCTATAACATCACTATCATCAAGTTGGGACTAGACTACGGCATAGGGTTGGATAACTGCGGTTCTAGTGCACGTGTCAGAACAAGCTTGGTATCGCGCAGTGTGTGTGTGTTAACCATGAAGTTCTGCTGTAGCAGTGTGTGTGTGTTTACCATGAAGTTCTGCTGTAGCAGTGTGTGTGTTTACCATGAAGTTCTGCTGTAGCAGTGTGTGTGTTTACCATGAAGTTCTGCTGTAGCGGGGACCAGGAGTACATGACAGGGACAGAGGCTACAGCGTTGAGCGTCTTCAGAGGGATCACTTGTTTGGAGAACTCAGAGAAACCACTGTCCACCGTACACTGTAGGAGACAAGACCACACACACACACACTAGAGGACTCAGACAAGCCTTCACTGGAAAGAGAAGTGTAAAAAGTCCTAAATGGTGAAAAACAGTAAACTGGTAACATAGATTTTCAATCTCTCTGGATAGGTGTGTTGTGCATGAAGCATGCACTGACCTCTCTGGTCCCTCGTAAGGAGCTAACAGATGTCATGATGTGAACGGGCTGGATCCTCCTGGTCTTCCACTCAGCGTTCAGGATGTCTGTCCGCTCCAAGATCCTCTGACGGTTAGAGTTAAACATACTCTGGGGGGGGGGGGGGGACACTGTCAGAAACCTGTGTTTGTGTGCATGTGCATGTGTCTGTTTGTGTGCGTGTGCGTACCTTGACCTCGTCAGCCCGTCTGAAGCGTTTGAGTTGGCGTAGCCTCATGTACTCAGACTTTACCCTTCTCCTCCAACACACTGGTCCCTTCTCAGACCGTTTCCCTGTCAGCACCATAGTCAACCTGGAACAAACACACAGCTTTATAACCATGCACAGTACCAGAGTAAAGACAAAGAGCTATGGTTCTGCACTAAGGGCTGAGAATTGACATTAAAACACAAAACTGAGCTTTGGACCCCATAGCTGGTCATTGAACATGTTGATAAGGGCGCACAAACACAGTCTCTTCAGAGTCAACGGTTCTTTCAGTTTCTATTCCCACCTCTACTCCCCTTTCTACAGCTGCACTGAGACAGTCATGCCAGGCCAGTTCAAAGTCATGCAAATAAGGGGAAACACCCCCAAACTAATTTCTGGTTGCATGTTTCAAATTCACATTCAAAGGCATCATTGTCCATTTACTTGGGGTAAAACAGAAATCACAAATCAGTCTTCGTTGGCTTCCATTACACAGGCTCAGTCCCAACTAAACACGACATTGTAGCCTCCATAATAACATCAGTGTCTCTCTGCTCGAGAAGGCCTGGAGAAATGGATGCTGGAGAGGGCCCTAGTTCGAAGTCATTGGCAACAAAAATCAAATCAGAGTTGTGCGTCTGCTTCATGACTGCTGTCTAGGATAGGATGAACTTTAATGTCCCCAAGGGAAAATTGTCTTACCAACACACAGTACTGCTGTATACAAAATAGACACTGTACATTACACATTCTGGGTTTTTTCTGCATATAAAATTCTCCGGCCGCCTATGTCCAAAGAGTACAATTAAATATTTTATCATTTTTGGGATGAAAAACGTTTTCAGTGTAAACTTAAAATGACTAAAACCAGATATAAAGTACGTAGAAAACATAATGGACCTATATTTTTTTATAAGATCATCTTTGAGAACTAACAATCACCAAAATATACGATAGACAGTCAAATTCCCAAAATTATGCATTCAGGAGTATTTTCGTCATGGCATGGGGCCCCCATTGATTTTGTTATAATGTTTGAGTCACTCAGATAGCATAAACCATGGTGAACTTTGTAGAATTGCAGGAAATTAGCTTTAAAACTGCAACATGTTATCTCAGCCCCATGACATGATGTGTAGATTGCACAAAATTAGCTTTACAACAGCTACATTTTGTCACTGTGGCCAACAGGAGGTCCTCTAACATTTTAGGCCATAATTAATACATTGCATCATCTGTGATTGGTCAAAACAACTTACTGATGGCACACTGCTAGAAAGAACATTGCCTATAGCTCTGGCTAGAGTAACTAGAATGTCTCCTTTTGTTAATCTGCACTGATATTACTGTGCATCTGTCCTGCCTGGGTGGGTCTAATCCAATAGATCCCCTTCCTTGAGGACATACAGTATCCGGTGCTGACATGAAAACCTGTTATCTTATCACACCACCACCAGTCACCACACTGGATGCTCATGTTTAGGGTTTCTCCAAGCACAGAGGAGAGGAGGATGACTTACAGTAGGATTACACATCACTGAAAATTATTTGCCAAATCTTTGTGTTCAAAAGTTCAAAACAAACATGTTGAGGGGCTCAATATTCAGACAAAGACGGAGGGGACGATTAACAATCTTATAATCAAAGGTAATAGAGAGCAATAGTAATGGAGTCTCTTTTTGTAGACACTAACTCCTCAATGGTTCGTTGAAAAAAGTATATTTGAGGTTTATTATAAGGATTTTGGATAAACGCCCAAAATAAACACAGGCTTAGGAGATCTTATACGTTTAGTTCTATGAGATAATCTTAATCAGCTAACTTCACTTTGTGAATTTTGAAGCATTTATGTAATATATATATATATATATATATATATATATATATATATATATATATATATATATATATAACGCACATAAAGACTTCATAATTCATAAAGGTAATGTTAACTGACTGATATTACCATTATAGAACAAAACGTATAAGATCTCATAAGCCTGTGTTAACCTCAGACCTTATTATCGGCGTTTATTCCAAAACCCTATTCTTTCCCCATAGGAATGTCTGAAAGAACCAGAGGTAAATAATTTCCGCTTTTTAGGACTACAAACTGGCGAGCTCTATTCTGTACTAGAATAGTGCCATATTACGGGTATTTGTAGTGGCAGGTGGCTGAATAGCGCCCCTATTGGAGATGTGAAGAACAAGTAGATCAGTCGGGGAAGACTTTCACCTTTCACTCTCTCAGCTTTCGCTCTCTCAACTGCCTCGAGTGACACATAGGAAAGAAATTCGGATCACTCCGCTTTGATGTCATTGCCGTTGCCAAATGGATTGCTGTCATGTCAAATGTGACATGAATTTGATATAATTGTAGCGAACACTAGATGGTGGCTCTCGAGGTAGCCAGTATCAAGCAAATTTCCCAATTCAGATGTAACGTTACGTTAGCTAGCTAAGTGTGTTTTCAATCCATCCTACCAAATACTTTGATTAACTAGCTAACTAACGCTAAAGGATGAATGACACCGCTACAAAGTTCAATAAAGTTCAATGTTGGGAGTCAATGTGTAAACCTGGTATGATATGAATTGAAGAAAGGAAAACCCTTCCGCGCCTCCACCGCAAACAAACACTCCAGTTAATTTGCAAAGTGAAGTACACAACTGTTATCTTGCCACATTCATTGGCTGGCTAACTGTTGTTGGCATAATTTACATAGATAACTGCCAGATCAGGCAAGTCAATAACTGTGTCAACTCCAACATTAACGTTAGCCTTCCATACCTAGCTAGCTGGTTAGCCAGCAAGCTAACTAGCGAACGTTACCTATGTGGCTATTTTTTTCCACAGAGGAAATAAGAATTGTATATTTTGACAGCGTTTCCTACCTGCAAAGGGGGGTCAGTCCTCATTCAATGAAGTGACTCGGGATCTATTGGACACACACTGTGCGAGAATCTTTCGTTGATCGGGATTGGATTACTACTGTTTTGTTGGCTAGCTTGTTAGCAGCGAGAGAAAGGGGGAGTCAATTCACCTCGCGCGTCCTCTAGCTAGCTAGCGAACAACATCGCCTCGCTACAAAGCCGGTCGCTTCTTTCTGGTCTGTACTTCCCAATGGAAATAACACGGATAATTTGATGCGGAATTACCGTCTTGTCAAATATACTGTTTAACTGAACTATTTTTCTCAATTTCTATATTTCCGCCTCAGCAACTATTCAAACGTCTCTCCCTGTCTCTTTCACTCACATTCGCCGCCCACTCCGGCCACTGCAGCTTCAACGAGCGCCAAACATATGGGCCAATCACCGCGGCCGATACTCAAGCTTCCCACTGCGGTGCATTGCGATAGGACGGATTGTATCAGGGAGCTGGCCAATGATAGGCAGCGCTACATCGGGGCCATGGAATGGGGGACATGTGGAGAAGTCTCCTTTGTTCTCTCGGTTAACAACGATACAAATGCCCAGAAAATATGTAGATGCGAGGTGTTTACACTATTACATGTGGCACGTTTATGTGCAACTATTTACAGTTACGACTCCCCATCATGGTAATACCATATTGAATCATCCATGAGCAAATGTGTCATGTACAATTTCAGAAGATATGAGTAAATATTGGTAGCTAAACCATTATATACAAATCACAAAGCAATATACTAAACAGTGGATGTGTTTTATATTGTAGAAAACAGTTTATAAAGTAAATATCCGCTTTATTTTTATTCTGGTCATGGTTGGATGTAGTCTCAACAGTCTAAAGTCGCTTCCTCTCCTCATCACCTTTTCTCTATATGCACTGACAGCAAAGAGCTAGGGATAATAATTGCTTACTCATTGCATCCGCTCTCCTCTCCTCCTTCTCAAAACCCATTGAAGGAGCGGGTCAGAGAGGAGGGATTTCTGGATTTCTCATCTAATGGGTTTTGGGAAGGAGACGAGGAGAGAGGACGCGAGGAGTATCCAATTGACATCTTCCTCATGACAGTAAAACAAATTCCCGGTTCATCCTCTTGTACATACTTTACAGCTAGGCTGAGTTCACTGACTTGTAAACATGTAGATAGGTCGACAAGGAGAGGGAGCCACTTTAGATTATTGAGACGTAGCCCTCCTCCTCTCCGCTAGGGGTTATCCAGTTTACTAAGTCCCGCCCTCCTCATACGCTCATTGGTAGATGGCCCGGGAGACGAAATGGCCTCGTTCAGAACTGTTCAGTTAGTTCAGTTTGCTCATATAGTAGTAGCAAATATTTTTTATAACTAAACCAAGATAGATCACAGCCCGTCGTTTCAAATGGGAACAAATGAGTCATAGTGGACAGAACAAGCAAGGAGGTGTGCAGAGCCAAGCACGAGCTAGCAAGATCCTATTGGCGCGTTCTAGCCTATATTTGCATATTTCCGTTAGGGAACGCCTACGCTGTGAAATACGCGTGTGCAATAACTCAATTCGCCTTTGCACTCCTAAACAATGCAATTTTTTAAAAGGGTAAAGTCTACAAAACTTAGTCTAATAACATATTTTATTTTTGGTACAGAAAACTATATTGAGATCAATTTTTCAATCGATAAGAAAATAAGCAGAATATCGGCCAAAATCCATCTCGTTCCATCTTCTCCCACTGCCGGACACTTGGCTTTGGAAACGCCAAGCGGATGCTTCACATTTATACATCCGGTGAAATATTTTCAATTAACAGAAATATCGGTCTCATTGTTCTGTGGTAGTAGCGTCTACAGTATGCACAAAACATTCAATGTTTTCATTGTACATCTCGTGTTCTATATCCCTCAAATTCAACTCTGAACCTCAAAGCCAGTTCCACTGCATTTTTTCATTGTTCCCCTCAAGGTTATTATAGTAAACTAAAACTGAAACTAAAACTAATGAAAAAAACGAGATATTGCTTTTTTCTAATGGAATTTTCAATGGTTTCAACTAGTTGCCACAGCCACAAAGTACAAACGTCTGTATCGTAAAAAATCAAAAACAAAAAATCAATCAACAATCGCTTTTTGGTCTTAATTTAAGGTTAGGGTTAGGCATAAGGTTAGCAGTGTGGTTAAGGTTAGGTTTAAAATGTTAAAATAAATTGTAGAAATGGGCGGGGTTTATGACTGTGGCTGTTGTAACTAGTGACGACCATTTTCAAGCTTCTGAATCTGGCGGGTCACCTTAAGATTGACTTTATATATCATTGAAAGGTAGACTCTGCTAGATGACGTTGCCACAAGCAGCTCGCAGATATTGGGACTGTAAAGCAACCGACTATAGACGATCGTCGAGGAGTGAAGTCTGACACATGTGGTTTTCCAACAGCAAGGCTCAGATCAACATGGCATTAGGCAGGTTTCCATTGACACAGGTTTATTCTACAAAAGCAATCTCGCAAAAAAAAAATGTGTAATGAAAACGGCAGATAGGAGACATTTTTATCCGTAAATTGTTATTGCCGAATAGGTAACTATAAAATCCACTCAACATTTCATTCTAAATGCCTACTACTTGCAATATATAAAAAAAAATACTATAAAAAAAATCATGATTCTTTGCAGGACAAGGATTGTCCTGACTTTCAAGAATGCCTGAATTGCTTCGCCTTGCTTTTCTGGTTGGCTATTAAGTTTCACCATCCAATTATTTCAAATCTATAGGAATGTAAGTTTCACCATGGCATGGCCTGTGGAAACACATTGGCGCATGGTAATTAGTAGAATATTGCATACAGTGCATTCGGAAAGTATTCAGACCCCTTGACATTTTCCATTTTGTTACAGCCTGATTCTAAAATTGATTAAATTGTCCCCCCCTCTACACACAATACCCCATAATGACAAAGCAGAAACAGGTTTAGAAATGTTTGTACATTTATAAAAAAAAAGAAGGAAATATTACATTTACATAAGTATTCAGACCCTTTACTCAGAACTTTGTGATAGAGGAATTATGATTATGACTAAAATTGTTAATCCCAATACTGATGATGACTGTGTGAACTGTGTTAGGGTTATCATTATAAACCCACTAACAGAGGGGGTGAGTTAGAAACTGCTGAGACAAACATTCCAGGATGAAGGGGACTGAGAAACTGGTTAAAGGCCTCCTAAAGGTGGGCGGAGCAAAGTGCCTTTGTGTGAAGTGGTATAAAAGCTGTATATGTGTTTTTTGGCGGCAGTGCTCTCCATGATTAAACATACAGATAATTCTTGCCGGTTGTGGACCTTTGTTTAATTCATGATTAAACCTGAGCCTTACACCCTAAGGGAATTATTCAGAACATTAAGTTTGATTAATTAGAGATAGAAATTCTCGTGACACTTTGTTGAATCACCTTTGGCAGAGATTACGGCCTCAAGTCTTCTTGGGTATGATGCTACAAGCTTGGCACACCTGTATTTGGAGAGTTTCTCCAATTCTTCTCTGCAGATCCTCTCAAGCTCTGTCAGGTTGGATGGGGAGCGTCGCTGCACAGCTATTTTCAGGTCTCTCCAGAGATGTTCGAAAGGGTTCAAGTCCGGGCTCTGGCTGGGCCACTCAAGGTCATTGAGAGACTTGTCCTGAAGCCACTCCTGCGTTGTCTTTGTTGTTTGCTTAGGGTCATCGTCCTGTTTGAAGGTGAACCTTCGCCCCAGTCTGAGGTCCTGAGTGCTCTGGAGCAGGTTTTCATCAAGGATCTCTGTACTTTGCCTCGATCCTGACTAGTCTCCCAGTCCCTGCCGCTGAAAAACATCCCCACAGCATGATGCTGCCACCACCATGCTTCACTGTAGGGATGGTGCCAGGTTTCCTCCAGACGTGAGTTCAATCTTGGTTTCATCAGACCAGAGAATCTTGTTTTTCATGGTCTGAGAGTCTTTAGGTGCTTTTTGGCAAACTCCAAGCGGGCTGTCATGTGCCTTTTACGGAGGAGTGGCTTCCGTCTGGCCACTACCATAAAGGCATGGTTGGTGGAGTGCTGCAGAGATGGTTGTCCTTCTGGAAGGTTCTCCCATCAACACAGAGGAAATGTGGAGCTCTGTCAGAGTGACCATCGGGTTCTTGGTCACCTCCCTGACCAAGGCACTTCTCCCCCGATTGCTCAGTTTGGCCGGGCAGCCAGCTCTAGGAAGAGTCTTGGTGGTTCCAAACTTCTTCCATTTAAGAATGATGGAGGCCACTGTGTTCTTGGGGACCGTCAAGGCCGCAGACATTTTTTGGTACCCTTCCCCAGATCTGTGCCTTGACACAATCCTGTCTTGGAGCTCTACAGACAATTCCTTCGACCTAATGGCTTGGTTTTGGCTCTGACATGCACTATCAACTGTGGGACCTTATATAGACAGGTGTGTGCCTTTCCAAATCATATCCAATCAATTGAATTTACCACAGGTGGACTCCAATCAAGTTGTAGAAACATCTCAAGGATGATCAATGGAAACAGGATGCACCTGAGCTCAATTTCGAGTCTCATAGCAAAGGGTCTTTCTGTTTTTTATTAATGTGCAAAAATGTCTAAAAACCTGTTTTCACTTTGTCCGTATGGGGTATTGTGTGTAGATTGATGAGGAAAACATTTGATTTAATCCATTTTAGAATAAGGCTGTAACGTTAAAAAAAATACTTTCCGAATGCGCTGTATATTAGTCAATTATTGCATTCTATCCATGCTGGCTTTCGCGGGCTACCAGAGACATGAAACACCTAGGTAGGAGGGCATACAGGCTGTCGCCAATTAATTAATTTGCCTAAATGGTAATTGAAACACTTCAACCACTACATTCTTATTCGACACCGTAGGTGTTTGCACTTTTTCTTTTATAGGTGTGACGTCATTACGTCCAGCAGTTTTTATCGACACAAGATAGTTCAATAGAAACGCACCCTTGCAGGCAATTGTCACATCTATTTTCTATGCAAACTTTCTAAATGTCGACAATAAATCACTGGACAAGTTAAGGGACTGTACATTATTTATAATGAGGCATACCTGGAGAAAATTGGACCTCTCTGAAATGAAAATGGATGGCCCTCCCTTCAGTAAAATATATTTTTACCCAACCCTCCCTGAACGCTTGAAAAATAATGTGCGACCCTCCCCTATACCCAAAATAATAACTAAAACATAAAGTGGATAGCAGAGAACATGCATAGTGTTTACCCTCACTCCTAGGACAGACCAGATCCTTAGCAGATTTAGAAACTCGTCTTCGTTTTGTAAGCATTGCATGGCAGAGGCCAGCAGGTTGTTGATTCGCAGACCACATCAGACAATGATAGGGG